CAGAGCAATCCGTGCCAAACCGAGTGCTATACGAAGACCTAGGATAAGTGCCAGTGCTAGAGGAGATGAAGACATCGAGCCCAAAACTTCTAAAACAACACCGACGACCACGAGAATAAGCTCTTCAAGGAAGCCCTAGACTACAATCCAAGATTCGCACATAAACACAAAAGACCGAAAAGACCGCTTCTAGAAGACATGGGACCCGGCAGCTGATGAGTCTTAAAGAAGAGGGGTGGAACCCTCGCGAGGAAGGTGCTGCATGAAAGATAAGCACAGTCCTGTGCAGCAGCGATGCTCAGACGACGAAGATTTGCTGTGCTGAATTCACCAACTTCATTTGAGGTAGGGGTATTTAGATGACACTAAGGGCCGTATCGTGAGTTGTTCCTACAATAAAGGTTCCCCCACACCGACGCGATACAGCGATAGCGTTAGCGTGAGCGTTAAAAATCGCATTTAGCGCGATAGCTTCACGTTCACACCAACGTGGTACGGTAGTCCTCTTATATCGCGATATTCTCAAACGCTTTTTTATTTTTTATACAATAAGAATCCGATGAAGAAGAAATATTATTTATTATTGGCCTTAGTTAATAATAATTAATACTTGTGTTTAAGGAAAAAAAATAGAAATGGATACATGATGTCAATAAACAAAGAATGATGCATGGAGAATATCATTCTTTAATACCCGAATTACGTAGAGCTCCACAACGTTTTTACGTATACTTTCGAATGACTTCCGATTGTTTTGATGAAGTCTTAAATTTAATTAGAGTTGAGTCCACACTTTATCCTTTTTTCTGCAATTTTTATAGACTTCGTGACTTAAATCGCTGAATATTGGGTACTTCTTAACTTGTTCAATTAATTTCTCCGTTGTGGACATCATGAAAAACGAGGCGATATGCGATACGAACCGCGTCGTCAGCAGCGTTTCTGAAATGAAACGCTGTCAAGGCGATAAACCGCGGGCCACCTCACCGCGTTGGTGTCATCGGTGTTATTTACCGCTCTGAGAACTGAGCACCGCATGGACAGCGGTGCGATTATCGCTAAGCCTCACCGCGTCGGTGTGGGGGTTCCTTAAATTGTAAGACGCCTTTATGACCTCCTTGATTGTCATAGTCTTTTCTCTCCCTCAGAAATTTATAGATGTCACCTGTTCCGTCCCATTGTGAAGTTATGCTTTGCTTTTGGATAGTAGGAAATTTCAGGCTGATAAAACAGATGATATAAATCAAAAGCATGAAAAATTTGATGCAAATAGACATTTGTGACATAACATCAAAATAGGACGCTGATACGGAAAAGTAGAAAACTATGACAATCAAGGAGGTCATAAATGGGTCCGACAGATGTAGGAACGACTGACGATACGGCCCTAAAAGCAGGTCGACTGAGACGTCGACATTTGTCAGGGTTGTCAGGAGGCAAAGACAAGGAAGAAAACAAAAGAAAGCGAAGAGCCCAAAAGTCATTTTGGCTAACATTTCAATGTGGGTCTCAGTTCAAGGTTCTAACGATGAAACCCCAAATAGAGGACGACTTAATGCCTATTCATACTCAGCCTTGACGAGACAGTGCTGTGACCGACACGTAATCCGCCCGGCGAAACTAAAAAGATTCTTCCTGGAATTTGGATGAACTGATTCACACTAGACCGGCACGTGAAAGTGGCTGTGTTCTCAGCGCGCTCGTCGACGACGCCATACCGTGATCATCGCATTGTTTTGGAACGATACTTCTTGATTTTCATGGCCGTGTTTTTATGTAATTTCGTGAATGTTTTGATATATTTGGTCTAAAACATGAATGATGAAAAACCAATTTAATTTGTGCGCGCACATCTTGTGCCATAGAACCAGTCAAATTCAAAATACATGGACTTCCGTTTTCTTCTCGTTTCTTCTTCTTCAAATTTTGTCATTTCGACCTGACGTGAACACAACTGCACTGTCAGAGCACGGAGAAAAATACTGACCGGTGTGAATTGAAAACACTGTGAGCTCACGTCAGCGAGAATCACTGGCACGTCACGGCACTGGCACGTCACGGCTGAGTATGAAAGGACCATTACCAAGTACATTTTAGAAAATAATTTGGAAGGGGTGCATAACAAACAAAATCATGATCACAGTTCCAATCAGTACGGATTCTGCAGAAAGAAGCATCTCAAAGCTAAAGTTGACCTAATTGAGATGCATGATAAGCCAAGAGAGACTATTTGCTATACCAGTTCTATCAATTGAACCGGAAATAGCGACTGCTGTTAGTTATGAGAGAATCTTGACACAATTCAGTGAGGCTAAAAGCCGAAAACTTCGTTTACTTTAATTTGTGTTTGCTTATTTAATATTTGTCATCATTTGATTAGCAATAAAACGCATAGGTGTACTAAGATATATTAGTGTCTAACTCTAGCTCGTTCAATTCAAGTTATTTGTGATTGGGAAATAGAAATTGGGCCTCGCAAAGCTGATGCCACCGTTTTTTGTCTTCTATTCTATATAATGGTTCTATAAGGATCGGAAAGATTGGCTACTCATTCTGGCACATCCTGTATAATTTTGTTTCATGGGTACGTTCAGTTTGGAGAAAAATGTTCACAGCCCCTCGTATTTTACATTGTAGAACACTTGGCTTTAGGGCACATATTGATCGACCAGCCAAAGATTGCTAGGGACGAAAGGGGGAAATGCGATGAAAAAACCTTACCATTAGACGATTTTATATGGAGTCATAGGCGGAGATCGGAGAGACTTGAATTATTAATTGAATTTATATTTTATTACAACTGGTAGTATTAATATTTTTTTGCGATTCATAATGACGTGATACCAAACATACATTATAAGAAATAAATATACACAAACACTGAATATTGAGAACAAAATAAATATATTTTTTAGGCAACAAGTAATATTCCTATGTACGCATTATGATTGAACAGCAAAACAAATTATGCATTCTTCTAAAATAGAATACAACAAGTCAAAAATATCTGACTGAATAGAAAAATATAGGAAAACAAAAAGTAATTTCTTGATGAAATAACCCATAAACAACACATAGAATTAGACTTTCTACTGAGATACTAAAAGCCACAAACCAATAGTATAATAAATGAATATCTAAAAATTCTAAAAGGTAGCCAATCTAGTATAGTTTCAATCCTGATTAGAGTCATGATCACTGTCTGAGGAACTGTCATTGCTATCACTTTCACCTCCTATGTTGATTATTATTTCTTCCTGTATTTCTTGAATGAGACTGTCTTTTTCCCAATATTCATCTTCAATTTTTATAACATGTCCAATAACCTTTTGCCAGTCACTGGCACTTACTGAAGCGATGGCCTTATTAGAAATTTCATCTAGTTTTTTTATAGTAAATTCGCCGCTTGTATTATGGCTTCTAATGAAAAATTTTACTTGTGCCCAAATCATCTCTATGGGATTAAACTGACACATATAGGGTGGCGTTCGAAGTGGGGTGTGTCCGAAACTTCTTATTAAATTATCTATCTTATAATTTTTCTCATCAGATGGTGGCCTATGTTGACAAGCTATTTCATAAAGCTCCATTTTTTTAGCATTAGGATCATGCTCTATACCTTTTTTGCTCAACCACGTGATGATGTCTCTTTTTAGAGAAGATCTAGTTGGAGGCTTGTCTTCCAAAGCTGAATGGTAAGGTGCATTATCCATTATTATAATACTATTAGGAGGAATGTTAGGAAATAGTTTTTCAGTAAGCCACTTCGTGAAATTTTCTTGGTTCATTTGACCGTGATAATCACCAGTGGCACAGCCAGCCTTGAAAATGAGACAGGCTCCAGGAACAAAACCATCTTGCGAACCCGCATGAACAATTATAAGTCGTCCTGGAAATGAATAAATAGCCTCATTTTAGTGTTATTTTAAGTTTGCCAACACCTTTTTGAATCACTATGTATAAAAAACATATTTTTGAGAAAAAAATACTTGCAAGGGATTATGTATTCAATTAGACAAATTAAATGAGCACTTATTAAGAATATTCCAAAATTGAGAAAAATGTATAATAAGCAAAATCGAGGTGAAAGAAACTTTATTACCTGTAGAACTTATATTGCTCAGGACACCCATAATTTCTTCGCTTTGCCAGCATTTCTTGAAAGTGAGGTCATTATCAACCCAAGTTTCGTCCAAATAAATAATATGCCTTCCTTCTTCCCGGAACTTTTTAATAGACCTAAGATACTTGTATCGCCAATGTAAAATACTGGGTCTTTCCATTAGTAATTTCCTTTTGTTGTGGCATTTACGCCAGTAAAATCCTTTTGCTTTTAAAAGCAGCCTCAACGATTCTTTACCAAATGGAAATTCCATTTCTTCCTTCAGTTTGATTAGAAGTTTACTACAAGTAGGTACCACTTTAAAATCACAGTAAAATTTTTCTATCATTCTCCGAATAATGGAAAAATCGACTCCATCAATTTTTTGGATCACAGAAGGGCGTGATCTCTTTTTTCCGGGAGAAGCTAAAGGCTGTGTGGAGGTTGCATTTTGCCTGTCTTTATCTTCTTTTCTAATTTTACTTATAGTTCGTTCACTAACACCCGTATAATATGCCGCCCTTGCATTTCTAGCTACCAGTGGATAAACGAAAGTATTGTTAGCCGCTTCTGCATCGCAAGCACGTATCACGTTTGCTATTATTTCCCTTGCCTGGCTGTGAATAACTTTCCCATGCTTGAATTCCATTATCACCACTAAACAGTAAATTATATTTTCAAAGTATTTGCCAACTGCCTACGCCTATGGGAGTAGGTTTATAAATGACCGTGCCATCGGCACGTTATTCTAGTTTCAGATAAGATAAGAGTTTTGGACCAATCAGCGACCGGATGTTTACCTGCGGCCTGGGTTTTCCAGCTACATTGCCAAATTCAGCGGAACAATTCTATATCTTAAATATGTTAATATGTATGGACCGCATTTTATGTAGAACATCTGACAACTTCGCAATTTTTTGTCCGCATTCTTTCGGCTTGCAATCTTTCGCTGGTCCAACAATAATTTAGTGACTTTTTTATTTACGTAGCAGTCGGAAACGTCAATCATAAAATAAAAAGACTACATTACAGCCCATCACAACACACATTTAGGACTTCTACAATCATCAAACGAGCGAAAAAGAGTAAAGAAGGCGTGCACCCCTCCCCCGCCATTAAAATTCCCCCTCGCGGGTAATCAACATTATTCCTGATTGGTTCTTTATGTTCGGCTTTGGTTTCAACTTTGACGGCGGCAAGTTGGCCAGACTGTCGGAAAATCGAGGCTGTAAACAGGTGTTTTTCAAACGAAATGAGGTAGCAGAGGGGAGTTAAGCTGAAATTTACTGAAACAACACAGCGAGACGGCAGAATTTTGTTCACACGGATTGTACCTCGGTAGTCGAAAGCAGCGGACCATTGAGTTTGTTTACATGTCAAGTGTGCCGGTCGTCAGCCGTCAGTGAAATCAGTGCCTTCTTGATCCAATGTGTGTGAAAATATGCCGTTTGTGTTTAGTTTCTTCAACGCCAGTTTGATGTTTCCTGAAAAATGAAATGTGAGGTTAGGAACAAGTAAAGCTAGAGGATGCCTCATCAGTATGGCTTGCCGGGCATTGCCCACGCTCAGTCACCTCCAACTCCTCCTCCTCAGCATGGAGCGATGTACCCCCGTTTTTCGGGGGCCGTTGTACCGGGGGGCTACCGCGGGGAAGACAAGCGCCTTACTAGGGAGGCCATGGAAAGATACCTCAGGGAAAGATCAGACATGGTCATCATCATATTGCATGCTAAAGTCGCTCAGAAGTCTTATGGCAACGAAAAGAGGTTTTTCTGCCCTCCTCCATGTATTTATCTTTTTGGAGATGGTTGGCGGCTACGGCAGGAACAGATGCTTCGAGAAGGTGAATCTGAACAAGCATCACAACTCTGTGCGTTTATTGGTATAGGAAACTCTGACCAGGATATGCAGCAACTGGACTTGAACAATGGCAAACAATACTGTGCAGCAAAGACTCTTTACATATCAGACTCTGATAAACGTAAGCACTTCATGCTGAGTGTGAAAATGTTCTATGGTTCTGGCCATGATATTGGTGTGTTTCACAGCAAACGGATCAAAGTGATTTCAAAACCGTCCAAGAAAAAGCAGAGTTTGAAGAATGCTGATCTGTGTATAGCAAGTGGTACAAAAGTAGCTCTGTTCAATAGGTTAAGATCACAGACTGTGTCAACAAGATATTTACATGTGGAAAATGGACATTTTCATGCTAGTTCTACTCAGTGGGGTGCCTTCACAATTCATCTGCTTGATGATAATGAGTCTGAAAGTGAAGAGTTCCAAGTTAGGGATGGATATATTCACTATGGATCTACAGTTAAGCTAGTCTGCTCTGTCACAGGAATGGCCCTTCCTCGGCTCATAATCAGGAAGGTAAAAATAAGTTTTAAAAAGATTACAAAAACAGATTGTGTATTGTACCTCCATCCATTCTTATACAAGCAGGTCTATAATTTCATCATTAACTCATGTATTTTTGAGATATAAGTTAACCAAAAATTGGATATTTTTTCACATAACAAGATTTGCCTCAATTTTTCTTAACATAGAGAAATGCAGAGATATTTATTTTGCACTCAACTTGTACTACATGCATGGGCACCCCTAGGATTTTTTGTCAGAAGAGGGAGTGAGGGTGATCATTGGCAAGATTTTGTGAAAGTGGACAGTCTCCAAAAAGTTTTTGAACAGCAGAAGTGTATTTGTCCTCAATTCAAATCCTTCTAGGTACAAATCTTTACCTGGGAAGTAAATTTCAGGCTATGGATATATTACACACCAGATCAGTGCAAGATCAACATAGATACATTGCATTGCTGGGGATGGTCATTCTAGTAGATAGAATGTGAAGTAATGAAGTGTTAATACTCTGGGGTCGGCCAAAAGGCTCAAAAGTAGCCTAGTCGCTAGTCTTCACCTCCCCATCACTACTACTACTATCTGCCCTCAAAAATTTTTGAAGAGCATTTTCTAAGGGAGGCCATACCCCCAAAATTGTGCACAAAATCGCGCTAAATATGCAAATTTTAAGTGTCATGCAGATTGTCAGGGGGCTCATATTATGCCCTGAAATCCCCTACCTCCCCTTAAGATGATATGATGAAAAGAAAATTTTTATTTTTCTGTTTCAAAGGCTACAAGTTGAAATCAAATTTTGTTTTTATAGATTCTTTGATAGAATAAATAAAAAAATCTGTAAATGGGAAATTTCTAATAGCATTAAGCATTTCTAGAAATATTATAGAAAACTGCTAGGATTGGTTATAAGTATGATGATAACCATAATCCTGAAAAATTGCTTTTTATAGCATCTACTCATCAGAAAACAATTGTTATCATATTTCTCTTATATTGTCATTTTTACATAAAAAAAGTAAATGTTGTAAAATTGTATCTATTTATCAATGTCATTGTATTCATCATTCTTATTTAGATATATTTGTATCAAATCAACCAATTATTATTTCTACCTATTGTTATAGCTTTCAGGAGCCAATTGTAATCATTATCTTCAAACTATGATAAAATGTAAAAAATGTTTTAATTGTCAAAGGTTTTCTTATCTCAACATAGGAATATAAAAGGACTAGATAGTACTACAATCTAATTTAGTTTAATAATTCAGATATTTAGATTAAGATCATGGAAGCTAAATTGTTTCCTTGGTTGCTATAAACTCACTTATTTTATGAAAAAAAAAAAGATATTTCATATAGGTACATACATAAGTTTTATTACAAATATATGTCAAGAATATGATGATTTGAGTACAAAAGCAATTGATGGAAATGTTTGTTTCAGGTGGACAAACAGCAAGCGCTTCTAGAAGCTGATGATCCAGTTTCTCAGCTTCACAAGTGTGCCTTCTATATGAAGGATACAGAACGGATGTACCTTTGCCTTAGTCAAGAGAGAATCATCCAGTTTCAAGCTACACCCTGTCCTAAGGAACCAAATAAGGTATTATTTTTGTTTGTGAAATGAAGGTGCAATATTTGGGGGAAAACCTGGAATTTGTTTTAAGAAAAAATCATATTAATGTGTGTTTTGAATGTGTTACTTTTTGAGATTGTAGGAACTTTTTTCTTATAATATCTGTATCACTCTAGATGCTTTAATAAAATTTGGTATGTTATTGTTGGCTACTAAGCATTGAGGCATTGCTTTTATTTGTTCCAGTGCATTCATGTAGATTTTGAGCTAAATAGCATAAAAAAGCACACCAGTAAACTACTGTAACAAAAATTTTTATAATTCTATTTTCTGGAATTTCTTTCATATGAATGCTTCTATTGCCACTATGTTGGTTGTTACTTTTTGTTAATCTCCACATTTTAGCCATATTAGCATGAAGACAAATATAATCATAAGTTAGTTGCAAATTAGTTAGATTTGCTCACAACCGAGATTTATAAAAATATTTTTTTGAGACATATCAGTGATTTTCCTTATAACTGTTTAGCTCAAATTGAAAACTTTACCAACCTGTATCTCAAAATTCAAGATGCTTAGAAGATATGATCATATGAAGTTTATTGTGAAAATAAATCAAGGAGTCACTCTTACAAGCCAATATCACTAAAATTTTTAATGATGCTGACACTTACTTCTCAAAAATTATGGATTGTATGCAGAACTGCATGAGAGACGCACAAATTAGGAAAGTGGTATATCAAAGGAAAAAGCCAACACTCTGGTTTTTGACAAATATTTCTAGACTCTAAATTGACGCGTGATAATGACAATAAAAAGTTTACGATCACTCAAACTGAGGAAGATTGGATACAATATAAGAAATCAAGAAACAAATCTTAGGAATGAAATGAAAAAATATTATAAAAACAAAATCGATAGCAATAAAAATAACAGTAAAATGATGTGGAAGACACTAAAAAATCTTGTATCTCCCAGTAGGAAGAATGAATTATCAAGAATGTGATTCGAAGATGGTATAGTAACACAAAAAATATTGATTGCAGAACGAATGAATGCTTATATTATAGATAGTATAAATGAGATAGTGGAATCAATCGAAGATGGGGATCCAAATCTATGTCACATGCAAGTTACTTGTAATTCTTCTATGAGAAAATTCCAAACAATAAATATCAGCTATCTTTCAAAAGCTATTACAAGATTGAAATCGAATAGGACATCTTTCAAAAATGGTTATGAAGGAATGTTTCAACATTATTCGAGAGAAGTTATTATTGTTAGTGAATCACTGTTTAGTGTATGGCGAATTTCCTTCAAAATTAAAATGTTCTACAATTACTACTGTTCCAAAAGTGCAAAATTCTGAGTTATATACAAACATGCGGCCAATTAATGTACTGCCAGATGTCGAGAAGCTCTTAGAAGGAGTCATATATGAACAAGTCATTGAATATATTGAAGAAAATAAGATATTGACAAAATTTCAAGCAGGATTCAGAAAAAAGTTTTCAACTAAAACAGCAATTCAAATGTTAGTAAAAGAATGCAGGCGAAATATGGATGAAAAAAAGTTTACAGTAACATTGTTCTTAGATTTCAAGAGAGCATTTGAGACTATTGATAGGGAGAAATTGTTAATGAAATTGTATTGCTATGAATTTCAAGGTTCAGTATTCAACTTATTACGAAATTATTTAATCAATAGAAGTCAAAGAACTAAAATTGGCAATATATATATATATATATATATATAATATATTTATTTTATATATTAACGATATTCCTGATATTTTCCAACACTGCAAAATTCAACTATTTGCTGATGATACATTAATATATATATACAGGGTGACTTCGAAGTTTAGTCATTTATTTTAACAGTGAGTAGATCTGATCAAAAGAAATGTTTTTTTCCTTTACCATTTTTCTGGTAAAATTAAAGTAACAAAGTTATAGCCCTTTGGAAGTTTGAGTACTGCCCTGTCTCAATAATAATATGTTCGTGTTTGGCGACAACGGATATAATCCGCCTGACCGGTTCATCGCATCGGAAACAAAAAAGCGAAAGAATTTGAAACGTTTATCACGATGTTTTTCGTCAGTCGATAACGCGTTAGTGAATAAATAGTAAGTGTTTGTTGCGTGGCTCAAACGAAATCAAAAATGGCACAGGTTTACGAAAATGCTGAACTTGTGGACATGATTCTTATTTACGGGGGGGCAGTCTTTACAAAATGCTCCCGGATGCATCACGGATTTATGCGAATCGGTTTCCCAATCGAGTGCAACCAACCCCTCGTGCCTTTGTTAATGTAGTACAAAGTGCTCGTGAATCAGGTGACTTAAGACCTCACAGGTCAGGGCATGCTGCTCCAATACCGCACGATCAAATACAGTTCCGCACTGAAATACTTGTCGGGACGATACTTTATTAAACAAGGTAACATTTTTTTTTATTTATTTTTTTATTTTTACACACATATTTTGGTTTATCTTCCTTCTACAATCATTATCAAATAAAGACATCAAAACTGCAATAGAGCTATTAAATAATGATATGTAAATGTAATAAATTGGTTAAATCTAAATAAACTTAAACTAAACACAAACAAAACAAAATATATGCTAATAGGAAAATCTTTAGATCAAAATAAGATAAATCTTACAATTAATCATGAAAAAATTGTGTGTCAATCGAACCATTTAAATATTTGGGCATAAATGTAGACCGTAAATTAAAATTTGAAGGGCACTATGAATATATTATTTTGAAAATATCCAAAAAAATAAATAACTTTTATAGAATTTCTCATAGCCTAAGCGTTTATTCTAAAAAAATTGTGTACAACACTATCATTCTTCCTCATTTGTTATATTGTTCGACTATTTTGTTCACTGCAAATGAAACTGTATTTTCAAAATTACAAATATTACAAAATAAAGCTATGAGAATCATCGTAAATAAAAATAAATATACTAGAATAAAGTTTATGCTGAAAGAACTACAATTTCCCCCTACTGAGTGGGCCCGTGGCAAATGCTTGTTCCGGATGTTGTTGTATCCAGTATACAACTTCTTCCCGTTCAAGTGATTGTTAAGGCACAATTGATGCTGTTCATCACTACCTGCAATCCAATCGTCCCGCCGTGCTTTTCTTGGCGGAGACAAAAATCTCAGAGTCTGCAACGGTTAACCATCTTAACTTCCCAAACTACGAGGTGCACTCCAATCTGAGAAAGGACGGGAGAGTTGTGGCTTTTGGCCGCAGCAGTCTTTCCTGCTCCAGAGATGTTTCTTTGGAATCAGACCGGAAGGACATTCTGTGGCTTCGCCTCAACTCCAAAACATTATTTGCTGCCTTTATCGCTCTCCCTCGGACCATAACTGGGATGACCTACTCGAATACCTCGCCGTCCAGATCGACTTCCTGAACATCAAACATCCCGCTTCAGAGGTAGTTCTTCTCGGTGATTTCAATGCCCATAATGAGCGTTGGTTGGGCTCAAACAAGACCGACGCAGCAGGTCGTGCAGTCGAAGCGTTCGCTCTTACCCAAAGGCTGACTCAGCTGGTGACCAGCCCTACTTTTTTCCCCCGCGTCTCGTTACACGCCAGTAGCCTGCTGGATCTCTTTCTGACCACGCATCCTGTCAATTACAGCACTGCTGTCCTGTCCCCCCTGGGTAACTCAGACCACGGTGTTGTGGAGGTTAGGTTTCGGTCAGAACCCGCTGTGGCAGCAGAAACTCATACAGGCCGCAAAACTTGGCATTACGGACATGCCGACTGGGAGGGGCTCAGAGATTTCTTCTATACCTTTCCTTGGAAAGATATCTGTTTCACTGACGCGGATGCGTCGGCTGTCTGTTCTTCGATAACCGAAATTATCCACGTCGGAATGGAGGATATATACAGGGTGTTCCATAATTATTGCGACAAAATGATAGGGGTTGTAGAGGGCATCAAAATGAACAATTTTGCCTTATAAACCCCTGTTCGGAAATATGCCGTTTGGGATGCAGCAAAAAAAAAAGATCAGTTTCTTGAAACAGCTTACCTACAGTAATTGCTCAGAGTGTCCTCCACCTTGCTCAATACACAGCTGTGCACGATTGTTCAATGATCGGCGAACTCTGTGGCATACCCCCGGTTTGTCCTGAACATGTGCGGACGCGGCCATCACTCTTCCCAGTAGCTCTTGTTGGTTGGGAACAGTAGTTTCGTACACTAAAGCTTTCAGATGGCCCCAGAGAAAATAATCCAGTGGGGTCAGGTCGGGTGACCGCGCAGGCCAAAGCACAGGGCCACCTCGGCCGATCCACCTATTTGTCGTCCAAATACTGCCGCACTTGTAAAGAAAAGTGGGCTGGAGCGCCATCGTGTTGAAACCACGTGTTGGCTCTTATGTTCAGTGGCACATTTTCTAATAGTTCCGGTAGCACATGCTGTAAGAATCGACCATAAGCATGCCCATCCAAACGTGGTGGAAGCAAATATGGCCCGATGATATGCTCGTCCACAATGCCGCACCAGATGTTAATTGAAAACTATGTTGGTCTCTATGGATGGCTATGGCATGAGGGTTTTCTTCATCCCAAATGTGACTGTTACGGCTATTAAAATAACCTTCCTTTGTGAAACAGGACTCGTCAGTGAACAAAACGTAGCGACCAAAGTTTGGTTGCCTCAACTCCTGCTGCAGCCACCAACGACAAAAACGTCGACGCGGCAGATAGTTTTCTGGACCCATGGCTTGGACTTTTAAAAGGTGGTATGGGTGTAGTTGCTGGTCATGGAGAACCCGCCAAGCAGTAGTTTGAGACGCTCCCATTTCATGTGCAATAGCACGCACGCTTGTACGCGGATTGGCCTCTAGTTTGACGCACCACTCAGATAAATTAAATGAATCGGTGTGGAGAATTTACGATAACAAAAATGTAAACACAGCAGGCTTTTTTTACAAATCGGCGAGACCATGAAATGTGCTAGACGAACATTTTGCAGCTGTTGAATTTTTTGTTTCTCTTAAGGTAAAATTAGCGGTAGTGCTCAAACGGCATATTTACGAACAGGGGTTTATAAGGCAAAATTGCATATTTTTATGCCCTCTACAACCCCTATCATTTTGTCGCAATAATTATGGAACACCCTGTATATTACATCCCTCACACAGTGAAAGTGCCTAGACCAGGGTCCAACGGCTGGTTTAGCAAATCGTGTGACGCTGCTCGCCAGCAGAAGATCAAGGCACACAGAACCTTCTTACAAAACCCCACTGTAGAGAACAGACATGCCGACGTTGAGTCCAGAAACAAATATAAAGCAGCGGTTCGCAATGTCAAAAACCAGCACGATATAAAAGTTAGGTACAGGGTAATGTCGCAGCGCAATGGCAGTCGGTCTTTCTGGACGCTGGCCAAACAGATTGAAAAGAACTTCGCACACAGTAGCCTTCCACCACTTACGTGTCAGGATGGAACTATTGTATTCAACTCAAAGGCCAAGGCGGAAGTGCTAGCTAAGATCTTTGCTGCCAACTCCACCATGGACGTCCCCCCCAACGCCCAAGCGCCGTCAATTCAAAGGGTTCCCTACACCATGCGGGAGGTAACATTCAGGCATAAGACCGTAAGACGAGTGCTCTTGTCGCTCGACATCAACAAAGCTTCTGGTCCGGACTTGATTCCTGCCATTGTGCTGAAGAGGTGTGCACCGGTTCTTGCTCCAGTTCTTTCGCATCTCTTCCAGATATCTTATGAATCCGGCACCTTCCCAAAAAACTGGAAATTTGCTCATGTCCAACCCATCCCAAAAAGGGATCTAAGATCGACCTTTACAACTACAGGCCTATAGTTCTGCTTTCTGTTTTAAGTAAGGTGATGGAGAGGTGCATAAATCGCGAGCTTCTGGACTACCTCGAACGTCACGACGTGATTAGCGACAGGCAGTATGGTTTCCGGCACCAACGATCCATAGGGGACCTCCTAGCTTACGTCACTCAGTTGTGGAGTAAACTCATCCAGTCTTATGGTGAGGCTCATGTCGTTGCTCTTGACATCACGAAAGCGTTCGATCAGCTGTGGCACGTTGCCCCCTAAGCAAACTTCCATCCTATGGCCTCCCAGAAAAGCTTTGCAGATGGGTGGCTGACTTCATCTCTGGCCGCAAGATATCCGTCGTAATTGACGGGTTCTCCTCTTCATCCCACAACGTCAACGCGGGTGTTCTGCAGGGGTCGGTATTGGCTCCGACACTGTTTCTCATACATATCAACGACCTCCTTTCCTACACGATCAACCCAATCTACAGCTTCGCTGATGAGAGCACTCTACATGCAGGAATTCAGAGTGACAAGCCGATCTCTGCCGCTGAGTTGGAAAAAAGAAGACAAGAGACTGCTTGGGGACGCAATAATGTTGTACTGTTCAATGCTTCCAAAACGCAGTACTGTACTTTGACAAACAAAAAGCGTCCCTGCGCTCACCCGGTTTCGATGGATGGTCGAGTTCTGCCAAAGAGCCATTCATTTCGGCTGGTCGGAGTCCAGATCACCGAGGACCTGATCTGGCATGAACACATCTCGTCAATAGCTGCAGCTGCTGGGAAAAAGCTAGGTTATTTGTTTAGGGCTAAGAAGTACTTTTCTCCGCCTGACCTTCTCACTCTATACAAGGCCCAGATAAGGCCTAGCCTCGAGTATTGTTGACACGTTTGGGGTGCTGCCGCCCCGACTACATTATCCATGCTCGATGCTGTCTAGAGGAGGGCGGTCCGACTGATCGATGACTCTTCTCTAACAGACAGTCTCGGGACTCTTTCGCACCGGCGGGCTGTCGGCGATCTGTCTCTTTTCTACCGTTACACCAACGGGCTTTGCTCCTCAGAGCTCTCTCCCATGATGCCATCGAGCGATGTGCCTGCCAGACAGACCCGCCTGACTTTGGCGTCCCATCCTAACCGTGTCGAACTTCGTACATCCAGAACCGGCAGATACGACCGCTTCTTTGTCCCGAGGATGTCGAGATTGTGGAACAATCTACAAGAGGAAGCTTTTCCCAGTTCTGTTAACCTTAGGCAGTTTAAAAATCGTATTAATACAATTTCTTTGGAAACATCATAGCAGCCGCGCTTTTCCGGCATTTAGGCTTCTGCCTGCGCGGCTGCTTCGATATATATATAAAAAAAATGGTTAAATATCAAAAATTTCATAGCCTACTTGGTTTTCATTTTCATATTCAAGTTGAAAAATCATCTTCTACCAAATCACTTAGAAAATTTTATTGTATTGAACAATGAGTGCCACAATTATTCTACTAGACGAAGTATAGACTTTCATTTACAAAACTGCAGTAGCAATATAACGAGCAAGTCAGTATTTCAAAAGGGATTGTACGAATTTAATAAATTAAGTAATGATATCTAGATGTGTGTCAGTTTGAAAATGTTCAAAGGGAAATTGAAAACATATCACATGGAAAACCAGAATTCATAGTAATGAAATTTTATATAAAAATATTTAGTCTTGAAGACATAATATATTTTGTGATATACTGTGTAATATGGATATTATGGACATTGTAGCATTAATGCTAAATAAATCTGAAACAAACAAACAAAATCGCACCTTGGAGTAATTTACCTTGATTTAGAAAAACCGTGCATAGGTATTTTTAGTGTCCGACCGAAATTACATTTCAGCAGGAACCGAAATTTCAGTCCAATTTTAGCTTTGGCCGAAACCAAAATTTCCAACCGAGTATGATATGGCAGGTTGGGAGGTGAGAGTAGTGTATCTCCAAGAAAAAACAAACTTAGTATTTATAAATTAATATTAGTAATAAAACTAGCAGTTCATTATTGAAGAAAAAAAAAACAAACTCTATGGAATATGTAACAATCAGTCTGTATCTATTATTATTAAGATTTAGGTAAGGAAAAGTAAAACAGTAAAACATTTGTCTCTTGAAACACGAAATAAATAGTGACTATTGTTTCCAACATTTTGTAAAAAAAATAGACAATAAAACAAAAATAACAACTTATGGGCCCTTGCACCAATACTATTTAACGTTAATTTGATTTGTTTTGCATGTACTTGAACCCCATTCAAAATTTTGTAAACTGTGATTAACTTGGAACAATTTTTAAATGGATATTATTAGTCATGATGATATTTTAAAGGATGATTTGGGTATCCTTGAACTAATCAATATAATATGTAATAATATTTATATTTGAATTATTCAAAGACCCAAAACAAAAACTATTTATTAAAGATTGAGTAGTCGCATATCGACTGTGGAGTCAGGGCAGCTGGGCCTTCTTGAATCCTGTCAAGGGACATACTTCCATCCTAGTCGAACTACAAAGGGAGGATCCTGTCCTTCTGAGCAGGGGCGATGTAGTTACCCCTAAGTATCGCTTCAACCGCATGTTTAATGTGGAGTATCCAACGAGGGAGGAGTGTGACGCTACCGGAGGGTCACTGGAGTGAGTGGGCAAGTCTGGTTCAAGGACGGTTCGGTCACCGAAGAGGGCTCTGCCGCCGAGGTCTCTCTGCCTCTTGGTGGATACACCACGATTTTCCAAGCAGAAATCGTTGCGATTCGGGCTTGTGTATCTCTCATTTTGGAGAGGGGTGGGCCTAGGAGAAGGATAACAATCTTCTCCGACAGCCAGGCTGCAGTGAAGGCAGTAAGTGCCTGTAAGATTACTTCGAGCCTTGTGTAGCAGTGCAGGGAGGCTCCGGATTGTCTAGCAGCGAGGCATCCGGTATCGTTAGTGTGGGTACCGGGGCACCCTGGGATAAAGGGCAATGAGACGGCGGAGGCGGATCAGCCAGCAAGCTCGTTGGTCCTGAGCCAGCTTTAGGGGTGCCCGCGCTAAGAGTTAGGAGGAAAACGGAGAAGTGGATTGCAAGACAACACTCTCAGAAATGGAGAAGCATCTCCAGACACCTACGTCAGGCACGGGAACTCATTGCAGGGCCCAACGCTAAGGACGGATGTTTCTGCTTATCTTTGGATAGAGCCAACTTAAGGTTGCTGGTTGGACTGTTGTCTGGCCAAAGCACATTAAGGCGCCACCTGCACGTGATGGGGGTGGCTGAGGATCCCTTGTGTGAACGCTGCGGGGTAGAAGAGACCTCGGCGCACGTTCTGTGTCGCTGCGAGGCTCTTAGCTACTACAGGCAGACTATACTGGGGTCCATCACTTTGGACCCCCAAGACATTAAGGAGCTTGGGCTCAAGGCCATACTCAACTTCGCTAGAATGGCGAGACTTGAGGTCTAAGAAATGTGGAGGTGCACAAGGGCCCGTCTGAGTGGCCTATGCGCTGGCTCCTTATGGTGGCCGGTATGCCTCTAATTTCGTGTTTTCATTCATTCATTTATTTTTAACGATTAGTAACTATGACATTGCTTAGGAAATTCAGTTTGTACAGTTTTGAATATTCTGCCTGAAATTGAGCTTGAACTAGAATTCCCCAATAATTTGTGAGTTATCTACCATCTTGAATTACATAGAAAAGTCGCTAGATTTATGTAGTCTTAAAAAATCTAAATTCAATGTTGGCCATTAGAACATTCAACATTTTCCTCTAGCAAATTTTAATTTTGACCTGAATAAGTTTTCCCGAAGGTATCCGAAAACAACGAACATAGTTTCGGTTTCGGTTGCAGTTTCGGTGGATTTTCTGCCGAAACTAAACTGAAACTCTTGAATCGAAAATCACCCGACACCAGTTTTCTCCATTATTGCTTCTAAATATCAGAATGTTTGATTCTTGCTGCTTTTAAATGGTTTTAAAAGATACTTCTTTTTGATCAACTCAAGCTCACAAAAATTCCGTTTTTCAGGAGATGATCAATGACGGAGCATGTTGGACAATCATCTCCACAGACAAGGCTGAGTACCAGTTTTATGAAGGTATGGGACCAGTGAGGAACCCAGTGACTCCAGTGCCAGTGGTGCATAGTTTACATTTAAATGGAGGGGGAGACGTGGCAATGTTGGAATTGACTGGTGACAACTTTTCACCATCTCTGCAAGTTTGGTTTGGAGATGTAGAAGCAGAGACCATGTATAGGTGAGAATTTTTTTACGTAAGAGATTGTTTGAAGTATGTTTGTAGGATGTTTTTTTTATCAAATTTATGGTTGAAAAGTGTGTGTTAGCAGCTTTTCATTATGTTGACAATTTGGAACTTAGAAGTTATTCCCAAGGTCAATTTGACAGAATGACCCAACCATATGCGGATAGACAAAGGTTTTTTGAAAAAAAAGTTGGTATTTTTGTATAGTTATACAGTATTAAGTTTTCCTTTTTTTCAGTTCGAGTGAGAATCTGCACATTAGGTATTTTAGCATTTTTACGATAAAAAGTATTAATATTTACGTAGTCATGATGAAGCGTTGGTTCACCTAGTCATTGGCGAATTTGCCTGCAATACTGAAAAAATTGTTCAAATATTCTTCAGTGAATGAATTGGGGTGCATTGGTGACCACAAAAGTCCGATATTCTTATTTCAAATAGGGTTTCGCGTTACTTTATTTGAAATCAGTGTCTCAGGCTACTCCAGTGTAACGAGTTTCATCAATTCATAGCTACAGAGGTCAGAAATGGAAGTTTTTAAAACCTTCAAATATCCTATTTTCCTAATTTTAATGCGATTTTGCGACACTACGATTTTTCATGGCCGTATTTAAAATGAGTGTCCCAAATTACCATTGTGCACATTGAGTTTTGATCATTTATAGGAGATAACAATGGAATATTTGCACCGTGAAACTTTGAAGTTTAAAATTATGATAATGAAAAAAAAAACAAAAAAAAATTTGCTGCAATAATAAAATCTATGAATGTAGTAATAGTTAACTAAATATTGGCGAATTTCTTCATAATTTGATCAGTTCTTTTCTTTGTACTGTTTATACTCCTTATACAGTGGTTTTCAGAAAGGCTCTATACTTAATTTTTGAAGTTCAAGTTAGCAGGCTAAAATTTGGGATACTAAAATTGTTGAACACAATATTTTAACTTTGAAACAATAGTTGAACATTTCATTATGATAATGAAAAAAAAAACAAAAAAAAATTTCTGCAATAATAAAATCTATAAATGTAGTAATAGTTAACTAAATATTGGCGAATTTCTCCATAATTTGATCAGTTCTTTTCTTTGTACTGTTTATACTCCTTATACAGTGGTTTTCAGAAAGGCTCTATACTTAATTTTTGAAGTTCAAGTTAGCAGGCTAAAATTTGGGATACTAAAATTGTTGAAAACAATATTTTAACTTTGAAACAATAGTTGAACATTTCTAAATCGCCACTGTGCGCCATGTTGCAGCATTTTTTAATTACCCCATGGTCGGTGCTGATTCCAAAATGCAATTGTTTATTAGTGAGTGGGTTTTTGTTTTGGGTATTAGGGGACTCTGTTAGTGAAAACTATTTTACTAAAATTAAAAGTTTGAAACGTAGAGCTCTGCATGCATCTCGCAACTGTCAATTTGATTATTTCTTGTTTGATTTCACCCCGAGTATAGTTTTCAGTTGCACTATATTTCACATATAGTCAAATACACTGCAACTGATGCCATCTATTTCATCAGATTTGCACTATGCCTGTCGATAAGGTCGAGTTGGAGGAGTCCGCTTGCTGTCCGGTGTTTTTCAGTTGTTTGTTCTCTTGTACAGCGGTGGCGCCCGCACCACCTTGTTACGCACAAATAGTGGCCCAGACGAAGACTAGATATAGGAGGTTGAACTGCGTAAGTGATACACGTATTCATATGAACCCACTACTGTCGCCAAGGATGTTATGGTTCTCGAAAATCTAGTCGGCGTAGAACATGGGCAGAGCGTGTGTGCATTGAAAAATGTCAACATGACCTGTCTCATTCATTATGTGCATTTCAATCAGGTTTTCACATGCCTTGTACTTTTATTACTTCATGGTTTATTAATATTATCCAATATGTCTGATTGCAACTCGTCCGAACTGTCAAAATTTGAGTTGTTTACAGTCATGATGCGCAGAACCCGAAACTAATTTTCTGTGCTGTGTACAAACAAGCCTTATTCGCAACACTTGAAATTCATTTCCTGCGCAGTGTACTCACTTGGCTTCACCCTCACTTCATGAGTTTAACCTCCTATCTGTAGTCGTCATGGTGGGGGCAAAAGCTGCAAAAGCATAAGTTTATAGTAGCAGTCAATGATGACAGCAGAACTTTCAGCTAGTGCTTATGCAATATATGTGTATGTTATACTATGAAGGAAAATTCAGTTATCTCTTGATAGATGGCATTTTTAACGACATTTTGTGGTGAATGCCCTACCCCCAGGCGCTAGTGCTGGCTACGCCCTTGCCACGAACTTGCCACACTATATCACCATATTACTGTAATATTAACAACCAAAATCCTTCCAGATGTCAAGAAAGCATGCTCTGCGTAGTACCAGACATCTCCCAGTTCCGCGGCGAGTGGCTATGGGTACGTCAACCAACCCAAGTACCCGTTTCCTTGGTCCGAAACGACGGTATCATCTACGCCACTGGATTGACCTTCACGTACACCCCTGAACCAGGCCCCAGGCCACACTGCCCCCCTGCGGATGAGATCATGAGGCAAGGTCGTACCAGTGGTGGAAGCAGTACCACAGGGCAACAGCATCACCAGCAGGTGGTGCAAAATGATGCGCATGCGCAGCAACAGGTGTGGCATCACCAGGCGATGCACTAGGAAGGCATTGGGCGCGGTGGACATCATCTTCAGCAGGTATGGCTATTCTATATGATGTTCTGAGTGTTAAGTAGATGGCGCCACCAGGTGATGCACTAGAAAGTCGTGGAACTCGATGGACATCGTCTTCAGCAGGTATGGCTTCACTAGGTGATGTTCTAACTGTCAAGTGGAAGGCATGACCAGGGTATAGCTTCAGTAGGTAATGCTCTAGGTGTTAAGTGGAAGGCGTCACCAGGGGTGGACTATGAAGTCGTGAGACTCGGTGGATATCGTCTTCACGTATAGTACCTCTAAGTGATAGACTAGGTGCTAGATGGGTTGCACTTTCAACAGCAAGTGTGGCCGTGGTTCTATTACTTATCAAATAAAGAACTGTATTCTTTAATGCTTCCTTGATAGACATACTGTACAGTATTTAGAATTTCAGATTGCAAAATCTGAGATCAAACAGATGACTACAAATGCCTTATAAATTTGGAATGCAATAAAATCTGTTTAGTTTGTAAGTATAGAATTATTCCCTCTTTCTGTGAGGGAACATAGAAATACAATATATATCTCAATATATATTATGATTTTATTTATTTATTTCAACTCGATATAATGAAGACTAAATTCTCTCTATTAGTTATTTTTCATTTTATTTTGTTTATTGTGATATGTCTGAGAGTTTTAGCAAGTTTTTTAATGATAGTGAGAGTTTGTATATAAATAGTTTGTGCAAAATAGATTTTATGAGACACCAAAGTACAGTTAGGTATAAAACATTGAGAATGTTGAGCTTCAACTTCATTTACAAGGTAGGTGATAACCATTCTGTAGTGACTCAAAGCAGTATTTTTATTCATTTTATAAATGATTTTACTGATCTTTCCGGTTGAATCTAGAAATCTCAATTGCAAATTGTAATTGTTTAAAGTTTGTAAACAATGTAGATGTTTCAAAACTTTCATTTCAGACATCCATTGTCTATATAATTCTTGAAGTCCAAAATTGTATAGACATTGGAAGTTCGAAATAAAACTTTTAAAAATTGGTTTTCAATCTGTAAAGGACAATGAGTAATTTTGGCGTCGTTTCTGTACCTTACAACCAGCGATGAATTTTGTTTCCCTTATTAAGAATGTCAAATCAAAAATGAAGTCCATTCTGTTATTTTCAAATGAGGTTCTTTCAAATAGTATATGTATTGCTTATATATTACTATTGTTTTTGTAAGTTCAAACAAACATGTTCTATAAAATGCTTTACAGCGTACATACAGTAAAAAACAATAGTGCAATTAATTCAATTTACTTATTGGTGGCCAGAATGCATTGCGAAGGCTAGGATTCGATCGCTCTGTATATCACGCCGCTATCAGTTCTTTCCTTGCCCTACCTTGCCCGGTCAGACATGTCAGCGCGGTGAGAGCAAAGGAAACACTATGCAGTGGCGCGGCAGTAATACGTGTAATATCGTACCAGAACAACAGAACCCCCAACAAATCCCGCGGCATATAAGTTTTAAGGGCAAAAATTAATCTCATTTTAGAAATGTTTTTCTATTCCAATACATATATATATATGTATATATATATATAGAAAATTGTCAACTTTAGAGAAAGGCTAATAAGAACTTTTGTCCAGAACAACCTGAAACAAGTTTCTTTGTATCAATTTTAATTTGAAAAAAATAGTGGTAATATAAAGAATTTTTGAAGCCATTTAGGGCATGGTAATAATCATAATGGTTTATTGGTGTTATTACAAAAAACGTGCTTACACAAGTCAATATTATAATTGAAGAAGCGTAGTAGCAAGAAGAAAATAAATGAACAATACATATAAAAACAAACACTACAGACCATACACACATATGTGGAGAAAAGGGTGACAATAAAAAGTATAAAAGATAGAATTATAACAAACTACGTCTTATCAATAAAACTATAATAAATAATAATATCATAAAACTATAGAGACTACATGAGGGAAGTTGTGGTTGAGGAAGTCATCAGTGGTGAAGAAAGCTGTCGACAAGAGCAAATTTTTCACATTACAGAATTTATAAAAAAATATATATTTATATTCATATATTTATAAAAAATATTATAAAACTTTATGCCATGGTACTTAATCCCATTTCTCGTTTTAGCAAGTCTATGTTGCTTTGAGAACGTGTTGTCTGTGTTGGGAGTTATATGTATGAATTTTATGGTAGCTTGGATTTGATTTGACGTACATGAGGCAACTATATATATATGCACCAGGTAATGTCTAGATCTTTAGTTAGATAAACTCAAATACTCTGTACAAAATAAAAACAAAAAAAGTCCTTGACAATATTTATCTGAGCAGATGCGAAGATACTTCCTGGACTATAATATTTATATTATATATAGAACACATGTTATGGAACTTATGAAAGCAAAAGTGGAACATTCAAAATTCAGGCTGATGTATTGTTGACTGTGCAGGGAGTTACTACATCACTTATATTCCAGAAGAATTAGCATTTTTAAGGTTCAAAAACTCTGAAAGGTCAGTACTAAGCGCGATATTTTTTGCAAATTATTTTGGGCCTGTGACAACATAAACACAAAAAAGTCGAAAATTACTCATTTTCTTTTGCGTGCTTTGAAAAATAAACAAAGTATTCTGAGAGGTTAAGTGGCTTGAAGAATACTGAAAAAACTGTATATCTTTTAATGGGTTACTTTTCTCAAGTTTTTAATATTATTGTTGCACTTATGTGTATTGTATTGAAGTTTGTTAATTTGGAGCGTGATACATGTTGTTTGAATTTTTTTAAATGTGTGACAACGAATGTGCTTAACGCGATGCCTGTAAATATTATATTTACTATGATTGTATGAAGATTGTAATTTATTCATCTTTTGTAGAAATACAAATTTATACAAAATTTTCTTTGAATGTCATTCAATCCTTCTCTAACTAATAAATTGAAATACTACTTTCCTGCCTATTTGAGGTAGGTCTGGGGGCCGTATAGTCAGTCAGTCGTTCCTACAATTGTAGGATGCCTTTATGGCTTTTCCTTGATTTGCTTAGTTTTCTACTATTCCATGTATGCGCTCTATTTTGAGATTATGTCACAAATATCTATTTGCATCAAATTGTTCATGCTTTTGATTTATATCATCTGTTTTATCAGAGTAAAACTTCCTGCGATTCAAAAAGAAAACATAACTTCACAATAGGAGAATGCTGATGCTGACACGGAACAGTAGAAATCTAGAAATATCCCAGCCTTTCCGAAAGAGAGAAAAGGCTATGAAAATCAAGGAGGCCATAAAGGCGTCCTACAATTATTGCAGGAACGACTGACGATAGGGCCCTAAGTGTTTGCTCCTCAAAGCTGTGCTCCATGATACCGTCGCGCGTTCATCCTACCAGACAGACCCACCAGGCTTCTGCCTTCAACCCTAACTGTGTCGAAGTTCGTACATCCATGACTGGACGGTACCACCGCTCCTTTGTTCTTAAGGTGTCGAGAGTGTGAGTCAATCTGCCTAAGTACTCGTTAAGCTTCTTATATAAAAAATGATCTCATATATTGAAAATATAATTTTGTCTAGGTTGAAAATACTGCATAATTCAAGTTTTGTTAAAACTAGAAATATTCAGCAACTTATATCCGTAGAAGTATACGTTTTACTTCGTATACATCTAGGTTTTAATTTACAAAAGATTTTCTATTATCCTTCTCAAAGCAGCGCATATCATTGTATTGTGATACGTCGTTCTTCCCATGGCAAAGAAACTAAGGCCTCTGTATCTTTACCTTTTGAACTGTGGGAATCAGTGCAGCCTGATTAATATACAGGAGGTCGGCAATTATTAAAAATAATACAATTGTTATCTTGATGTTCCCACATTCAAGCAGCAGATTTTAATTTTCATTCTACCTCGTTCGTGAGAAACTCACTAATGTATGTGTGAGAAAAACGTTAAAAAATCTGTGCACTTCCTCATTTTTAGAAAACAATGATTGTGTAGAGGAAATAAAAGATAGTACCGCATGGTACTGTTAATTCGCAGGGCGCTGATAGAAAATTAGCGCTAATAAAATACAAGTGAGGGTGAGCTGGTACCATCATTTGTGGGTCTTCAGGAATGTTAATTATATGGTAAGTAGATGATGGTAATCATAGATAGTAATCAGACGTATTGTCTGTCGTGTGTGGAAGGAAATTGAACACGTTCAGCAGCGTAGTTAAGGGTTTTTAGATTAAAGCAGGCACTAGGCAAAGCCTTAGTACTAGGACATTGGGAACTCTGTGATTCCAGCTTTTGTTCTCCGTGGCTATAAGCGATTGACACTCTGTACATTTAGGTATTTTGGGTCGCTTAATGATCATGAACAAATGTGTCGTGGGGCCGAACTTGGGCGTAAAAATTAGCTGTCTGGGATTCCCGTTAGACCTAGGGCCTAATTAACATCAGAAATGAGTTTGGGTTCAGATTATAAATACGCAAGGTTTTTCGATAAAAAAACTGAATATAATAATTATACTGCTTTGCAGCGTGAAATTTATATTTTCGTTGCCTCAGGCTATGAATGAACGAAACTTGATACGCTTAGGTAATTTAGAGTACTGAATCTGAATATGACTATCAACAGCTTCTGAAGTGGCATGTGGCCTGAAAGATTGAATAGTTACACGGCCGGGAATCCCTTATTACCAGGATCGCAGAAACGCAAGGAGGTATTGAAATTATTTTAATTATACATTTAAATTTTTCACACAAACATCTCTGGTCGCTTCTGTAGTCCTGATACGAAACAGCGTCTGAAGATCACAAATTGAGTCAGAATTGTTTCGATAAAGTACCAAATCGCACTGGTAAAATTCATTACCAGGATCGCAGAAACTCAAGGAGGTATTGAAAAGGCTCTCAATGTAAGATTAACAGGAAATTTAAATTCTTCACCCAAACTCCTCTTGACGCTTCTGTGGTCCTGATACAAAACTTTTAGTGGATGTAAATCACAAATTGTGTGGATTTCATCAATGTACGAAATCGTATGGGTATACATCAACTTCCTGGATCGCAGAAAGGCAAGGAGGTATGATCACGGTGCTCTGCTCCTAATACCCATACGTTTGGCGGGAAGTTTAAATACTCCACGCAAATCCTTCTCGCCGCTTCTGTGGTCCTGATATAAGATTTTTAGTGACTAAAAATCACAAATTGAGTTAGATTATCTTCGCAATGTACAAAATCGTATGAGTAAAAATTGACTACCGTTATTGCAGAAGTACGAGGCAGTATTGAAAAGACGCTTTTCTTCCGATAAAATTGTAGGGAAATTCAAATTCTTCTCGCAAGCACCTCTCGTCGCTTGTCTAAATGTAATACGAAATTGCGGTACAGCATTGGAATGAAATTCGGACTAGAATTAGTAGGCGTCATCTAAAGGCAACGGGGAAGGATGTAATAAAACAACTTTTAAACTTCATAATTTATTGTCAAAATAATATCATTTCACCTATTTACAAGATTCTTAAAATATATAAAAATGACAATCGGAATGCAAAATATATTTACATCGATAAATATAACAGAAAAATAGAAAACAATAACAGCAGTTCCAGTACATATGCACTTATGTATAATATGTATATAAATCATTTGAATGATTGATAAAAACTCCCACTGGGAAGCACCGATTATACACTGGAGATTCTTATTGACATACAAAAAGTCTTTCTGGTGAAACTTTGATTTATTGTTATTCAATTTATGAAAAATGCGATACAACAAATCTTAGATACGACAAATATTGGGAAGCGTATTTCCCTTATTGCCAAACTAGGGCAAACTAGCCAGACACATTAAGATTGCAAACTAGAGCTGTTAAAACTGAGCAACAAATGCGAACATAGCCTTTTAACTTTACAGCTTCAACATGTACATAATCAATAAGATCTTCTACTTCCAGTAACAAAAATATCAACAAAATCTAAATAAAAAAAATTAAAATGTTCTAATCTGAACTCTATGAACAAGACAAAATTTTCCAATGGGGTATTCTCCAAAATTTTTGTCAATATCAATTTTTTGCATAAAAAAGTATATTTTGAATAATGTAACATCCGAAACTCATCCTGTGGTAAAGGAATCAGCTTATATAAGATTAAGCAACAGCCTTTTTAGTTATTCTGCGGACCTGTGACCCAATGTGGTTGACTATCCTTGAAGGAAAGATTCAATTGTTATTCTCCAAACTAAATAATGTACCATGAGTTTTTTATCCAGGTTTTTTTCTTATTGTTTGTTATTGGATCTCCAATGCGCAGATGTTTTTCTTGGTCATCTCAAGGTCCAAAGTATTGTATCTTATATTATATCCTCTGGCGACAAACAACATGGTTCGCTTTAGATGTCAAGTACTTTTTCTCGTATTTCAGATTCATAAACAATGCACATGCAGTGGAAGATAGCATAAAAATTAATCTGTCTGTCTGTTACGACAACAGTTCTGGGTGGGTTTTCGCCTTTCGGGGGAGTTTTGGCACTTTCGGGACGATGGACGAGAGTAACGTGTCTGGTACATGAAAAAACGACAGTTATCCTCATGTTTGCTTGTCGCTTTGGGAGGCTAGACGCCCATCTTAAAATTGGAATGATGGGTCCGCACAATTTCACCATGTTACAGGACCTTTCAGAGTTTTATAATAACACACTGTACAGGAATGTGAAAATAACAGGAAAAACCAAATGAAGTGTCAACTGGAAGACAAATAAATAAAATATGTCGTCAATAAATGTTAATTAAACTTGAAGGTCACCGTTGGGACCAACGAATAAATATTTTTTTTGATAGTTCTGTCATTAAATTCGTATATTTACTGTTCTTTTTTAAAAGTGGTGTTAAACGATTTCAAGACATGATACTTATTACATAATATGCTAAGAGTGGCACACGCCTAATGAAGGTAGATGTTCCACCACTAAGTATTATTATGTTATAACGCTGTCACTTTAACAGGCAATGGTAGAAAAATAAATCAAAAGTATGCACGAAAAGTATGCAATTTTGGCGACAAACAATGCAATGTAAACATATCGCTCCTTCTAATTCGTCGTTCATTAAAGAAGTTTAATGTGATTTTGATTGGCCATACAAACATGGGGATTATATTTTGAGTGTTTTTCCTTTTTTTTTAAGAACGAGAAGTGGTGAAACTTGCCTCCGAAGCTTAAATGTGAAATTTCATTTTACGAATTTTTAAGAACGATTTTACTTTGGTGAAGAATACCCCATTTTAAAACTTTTTCATACAAATGTAAAATATCTCAGAATGAGATAGATATTTTACTACTTAACTCTTATGCTTCTCTGTTTATTCATGTTGGTCAACATCAACGAAATGTATGAAGTGAGCAAATCGTCCATTTTGTATCCCAAGGATGTCTCGCATAAAAGTTTGGATCCTCGCACCAGATTGCCGATTGTCATGTGAAAATAGGTGTTGCCTGATGACCAGTTCGATATTCTTGTGAAGGGATGCGTTACCAGGATATCCTGCAAATAATAGATCGCGTTAATTCAGAAAGGGGGCCAGGCAATTTAATCTGCTGCGAAATTTCATACTACAGTCTATTTTATAAAGACGTTCCATTGCTGGTCTGACATGCCTCCATAAGAGTTTGCATGACAGAGTACATGCACCAGAACTCCTCCAGATGTTACATTACTGAATATCGCATTCAAATTCGAGAAGGACTCTAACTTTCTATTGCAGTGCCTCCCGTACCAATGTATTATTTGATTCTCCGCTATATTCTGTTTGCGATAATTATAATTCCATAGCAGACAGTTCTGTCATTAATTTTGGTTGTATCAGTAAAATCTTTTCAAACTGTAGGGACTATTACAATACCTATTTTTTATGTTTGTTTTATGTAGTTCTTGTATGCACACTATTAGTTAAGTTACCATATGTTGCCCTGTAATTGGATTAGTCTGTTGGATAATTATGTATAAATAAATACAACTAAACATAATAATCCATATTAATCTCCATATTAGAAAACTTCTTTTATCAAAAATATCATCATATGGCACCAGAAAATGCCCAACCATTCAATGCATGCAACTGTACAAGGTGTTACTTGATGATAGACCGCAATTACAAGGGCGCATTTCTGAACCAAATTTGACTAAAAAAGTTCAGATAAACCTGTGAACTAGAAAGTCTGGTTTTCAAGATAGAGGTGTCAAAGTCATTTTTTTTATTAATATCTCAAAGATCCTTGTGCATATTTTGTTGAATTTTAGCAGTGTTGTTCATTACAATTAGACGCTACGTTAGCACTAACTAGAAGAAAATTATGAATTCCAATGGTGACTCGGGTGCAGTCTCACGAAAAATATTGACAAAAAAATGTACGCCGCTGACCTTAAAAAACATATTTTTTCTGATTAATCACATAAAGATATAGCTTTTTTGTCTCTTGGTATCCCTTCGCATCTTACTTTATTTTCGAGGAAAAAATAAAAACTTCATTGCATGTCGAAAATTGTTAAAATCATATCAACTTTGATTGTTATTAAATAATATTGTTCTGTTGTTATGAACATACTTTTGACTTTCTGTGACCAGCTTGCTATCATGTTTATGCGGATAAAAACAAATTTTTAGGCTTTGACGGCCTATATCTTGGAAACCAGCCTTTTTTAGGACACATTGGACATTTATATTTGGTTATGGAATTCGCACTTAAAATTACGACAAATCATCAAGTAAAACCCTGAAAACCTGTGGATCAACATCTTTAGGTTTCAGGATTGCCGCTTCTCAGATTATGTCGTGGGCTTTATAGGATTTTACGAGGAGGGTTGAGGGATGTTCTTTCCTCTGAATATTAATGCTATGTTTAAGAATAAACAATTTTATTCAGAAGGAAAATGGAATCCGTTTTTATTATTTTTGAGGGAATTGCAGTGATCACACTTAGCAACGCGGCTAAGATCATGGAAATTATATGTGGACGTCCAAATACAGCATGTGTCGGTAATGTTTTCGGAGAATACGTTAATCCATGGTAAAATTATTAAATCTTATTATTTCTGAGATTCTTAAACTGACAAACATATTTAAATTTTGCGCTAATCCGGAATTTGCTTTGGGAAAACATGATACGTTTCCATTTTTTTTGATTTGCTGCATTGCAATTGTGATCATCATTATGCAATAATAATTCTGTTGCATCGAATAATTGAATGAAAAATAACATTAATAACCTTCATTAAAAAGTATGGCTGGTCTCTTTAATTATTTGCCCATTAGACCACAACAAACAACTTATGAATAAGCATGTAATATGGAATTGAAAAACAGGAAATTGTGCTCATGAGTGCTGTGGGAAAATTTGAGACGTTAATAATTCTAATTGCATAAGATTTCGAGTATCTGTTTATATAGCTATGGACTTTTCAAAAAACCCATTGTGTCACAAAAATGTGAACGCGCGTGTATATTAAACCTATAATTTACTTAAAATAATTCCATGAAAATATGTATTTCCTGTTATGAGGATAAGATCCTGTATTATTTTGAGACGGCAAATCTATGTTTAACAACAAAAATGTGGCGAACAATGTGCTCTTCCCATCTGATACACGATTATAGTAAAGTTAACTACAAACTCCGAGAGACACTTTTCAAATAGAATCACTAAATGGGTTTGAGAAAAGTCTTGCAAAAACCAGTTGCGTATTTTTTTGGCAAAATATAAAATGTAGACCGCGGTGACGGCTAATTTCTGAACCCATGTTTTTTTCCTCGCCACATTCTGTATCATTCTCTATATAGAACACAAAACAACACGGAATGGCAATCAGGGACAAAATAGATCTTTTTCTTACCTTGGTCTGCGGGTGTATCAAGCTAACTCCATGTTTGTTGATTGCGATGAGCAACATTTCTGGATAATTGGGGTCTGTGGTCTGTTTGACCTCGAAGAAGGCAGATCCAAATGTCGGCCATCGATAGACGATCTTCAGAAACATGATCTTGGCATCTTCTGGGCTGGTACCTGCATCTTGATTATAAGCAGAGACGATAGCTCGTTTCCAGTCGGCTGCGCTTTGGGCTTTTACAAGATCGGCGGGGATCAGCTCGCGGAGCATTTGGCTGGAATCGGAAAGTTTTTTTTTGTTATGCAGCGTGATTTATGGGCTAACATTCAACGAGTTATGGTCTGGATTATTCTAAAATCGTCGTAACTAAGACCTTGACCCTCAATGAGACCTCATTTTGAAGCTCCTTTCCTTACGATTACTTTGTAACCCTAGAATATAAAATCTCTAACTTTCAAAATTACGAACTGGTAAGCTCTCAAAGTTGAGCGTTCGTAACTATTGATCAACCTATTCCACCAGGTAGAATATGTTAATCAACGTTATAACTAAGGAATTAATCATCAAAATTCTATAGTATATTATAACAAACTTCTTCTTTTGGAAGGGTCTATCCAAATATGCCATTAAATATTGATCCATTAAAAAAAATTAAAATCTCATTTTTCTCAGATGGAATGTACTCGTATTATATGGCCATTTCCAAAATAAATATTGATACGATATATTATAACGTCTTGATAATTGGTTGTTGAATTATAAGCGATTCAATGTACAAAAATGTGTAGCTTTGTCAGTCCGCCATTTTGAAAGGCAGTTATTCTATATTCTAGGGCTATAAGCTACTCATAAGAAGCTCTAAGATGAGGTATCACATGATCACCATTTCATTTAGAAATGGCTGGGCGCCATCGTGAAATTTTGTAATGTTATTTTTGCGTTAGAGTATGTTATTCATGCATCAATTTTATCACCTCAAATTTTAACTAGCTAACCTGACCAGTTATAAAAATGAGTGGGGGAAGACGTTTTCGTGAAGCACTGTATATAATTATATGACTTAGAATAGAGATCAAAGTGTTTCATTTTAAAATATACGATTTGAAGTAATCAAAGAAAGGTTTTTGAATAAGGATTCGAGGTGGAAGGTTAGGAGGGGAGCAATTACGTGAATTGGAGAAAACAGGAAAAATAAGCTGCGGAGTGTCCAGGTACTGTAGAAGGAGAAAAACAAGAAGTTTAAAGTGCTGAAGCCTGGCTAACTAACTTTTAGCCATTCGTGTTTTAAGCGCATTTGCTCTATAATAGTCTTGAAGCGTCGTTAGTTTGTTTTGTAGAAAAATAAAATTTTATAACTTTTGATATCCGGGAATCCGGATAAACGGGTTTTTGCTCAAGTATCACTCGGGTAGAAAAATTTCTTGCATGCTCGAGTATACTCGACCAGGTTACCCGGATCCGACAACTCTAGTAGCTACTAAAAGTACGATCAGACTCAGTACTGATCCTTGAGGTGTACCTCTGTGTTTATATTCAATTAGTTTGAAATATAATCTCCTGATACTTTCACAATTTGAGATTCATTATTTAAATACGTAACTTACGGTATAGCCTGCAACTCCTGCTTGCTCTCCCCGAATCGCACCCTGTACACGAGCGCTGCTAACTTCGCCGCTTCCTCTTTGGTGCATTTATGGTACCCTCTGATCAACTTAGGCAACTCTTGATGAAAATGGAAGATCAAATCAGCGTTTCGGTCTTTGCCGGGCACCGTGTTCGTCCACAGCTTCTTCATGAAGAACACCTGGTAGGAAAAGTGGGGAGCGACACCGTCCCTGGATGGACGAGCCTTGCGAATCCAGTCCGTTAAATGGCGCACGAAGTCGAAGAAGAAATCGCCTTCAGGCACGGATATCACCTAGAATAAAATAGGATTGATTAGGATATTGTAACCAAAAGTTGTATTCACTTAATAGAGAATCCCCATGTTTGTCTGGCCAATCAAACCACATGTTTAAAATTTTCCTTTTTTTGTACGACGTTTCTGTCACAATGGTGAGCTTCTTCAAGTACAATTGATACTTCATGACAATAATTCATTTATGTCTTCTAGGTGACACTTCGTTTGTTCTGGGTAGGATTTGGCGTTTTCCGGACCATGGATGAGGACGACGTGTCTAGCACATTAAAAAACGACATATAGCCTTATGTTCGCTGTCGTTTTGCAGAGGTGGACGTCCTTTTGGCAACGGGAATGTCTAGCCCAGGCGGTCCTGGTTCTTGCTGGTTTTGCGTGGTGTCATCTTAAAATTAGAATGATGGCTTCAGACTATTGTAGTATATACATATATAAAAAAGAAGCAAACGAAGTGTCACCTGGAAGACAGATAAATAAAATATTGTCAAAAAGTCTCAATTGTACTTGAAGTCACCGTTGTCTTACGACAAAGATACATTTTTAAACATAAGTCGTTTGACTGGGCAGACAAACATGGGGATTATCAACATGAAAACCACAGGAGAAGTTTCAGATGTTACAATGAACTAATTTATTAGTCCTCAACACACTAATTGTAACAACACGAATCGAGTTTCGCTCTTACGACGATCGCTCTTCGTTGACTGACTCCCGACTTATTGCCTAGATTCGGCTGTAAATATACCAGTGAGTGGCCTCCTCTAGAAAATTCTAGTGTAATCTAGATTCTAATGGCCTAGGCATCGTAGTTCCATTGGTCCACCATAGGTGGCGATATTACAACACGATGTCGACGGGTCTTAATAACGTCAACAGAGGGCGATCATGATGTCCCAAATCGGATTAACAAAATAGGACTACATATTTTAGGAAACATGCTTTTATTGCAAATGAAGCAATAGATTCGCACATTATTAATTTTTAAAATAATACTTCAACTAAATGTCCCCTATTTCATCGCATTTTGGACAACACTAAAACATAGCAGGTTCGATTTCTTGGAATATTAACAAAAACTGTGTCTTGGGATGCCTCACAGGAAAAGCCAATTGACGGCAAATCTGATGATTGCGATGGTCATGTAATATCAAACCAAATACAGTGGACCCCCGATAATCCGGCCCCTGTCTAATCCGGCGCCCCCTGTAATCCGACATGTCTTTGAATATGTATTACATACATACGTATTTGACAATCTTCGCTAATGTAGATCACGCAGGTTTGAACAGGTCACAACTTGTACGCGCCACCGCTATCGTGCTCGACGCGTAAGCATTGTTTTACTTAGTTTGAATTTGACTACTGGTGATAGCGGTAAGGCCTAGCATGCATTCATTGTTTACTATTTATTCATTGTGTATTAAGTATAGTACCTAGTAATGTCATCACAAACTCAGAAGCGAAAGCACAAAACATTGACAATTAAAGAAAAATGTGATATTTTGGACCGCTTAAATGGCAATGAAACTTTCAGTAGTTTAGCAAGTGAATACGGCGTAGGCCGATCTACAATTTATGACATTAAAAGAAACCACGAGAAGATCAAGATGTTCGTGTCAACTATTGACTGCGGGCCAGGCAAGAGATAGACACTCAAGAAAGCTGAACATCCAGAAATGGAAGAAGCTTTGTACATGTGGTTTCTTCAGGAAAGAAATAGGCATGCCCAATTTCAGGACCCATGTTGGCCATGAAAGCTAAGTTTTTTTATAAGGAAATAACAAAAAAAAAATGATTCTGTGGCCAGCAAAGGATGGCTAGAACGTTTTAAAAGTCGTCATGACATACGTTTAATGACTGTTATAGGAGAGAAACTTTCTAACGATGCCACCTGCATAGAGCCCTTTAAATTAAGATTTTTGCAAAAGGTGAACGATTTAAATCTTGACCCGTCACAGGTGTACAATGCAGACGAATCAGGGCTTTTTTGGCGTGTGTAAATGCCTAACAAAACTTTCGTTTCTTGTAACGAAAAATCCGTACCTGGACGAAAAGTAAGTAAAGAGCGTGTAACCATACTACCATGTGCTAACGCTGCGGGCACACACGCGCTTAAGATGATGGTCATTGGGAAATCTAATAAACCACGGGCATTCAAAAACATTGATTTACCTATACACTATTACGGACAAAAAAGTGCATGGATGACAAAAGACCTTTTCAAAAAGTGGTTTGATGAATGCTTCGTACCTGAAGTTAGAAAATGGTTAAAAGATCATAATTTTCCTCAAAAAGCGTTGTTGCTTCTTGATAACGCTCCCGGTCATCCGTCTGAAGAAGAACTAACAACTGAGGATAAATGCATCACTGCGATGTTTCTTCCGCCAAATTGCACTGCACTGATTCAACCAATGCACCAGAATATCATTCAGTTTGTCAAGCAAGACTATAAGAAAAACCTACTTCTGAGAGCCGTATCAAAAGACCAACCAATAGAAAAAACTTGGTTTTTGCTGTTTGTCAGTCGTGGAATGCGTTACCGTCATCAACTATTAAATCGTCTTGGAAAAAGTTGTGGCCAGATATAGTCACCACTCCTAGCATCGTTCCACAAATCAGTGTTACTTCGGAAGTTATAGAACAAGTCGCTACTGAAACACAGATAAGTTCGGAAGATTTGGAAATCTGGTGCCGTGGAATGGATAAAGAGGAAAATGTTTTTCATGAAATGTCTGACGAAGAGATTATAAAAGAGGTTTCTAATTATACAACAATCAGGAAAATAACGACGACGTGATTGCAACTGCTCCACAAGTCACAGCACAAGACGCAATTGACGCCTTTCAGCTAGGTTTACAATGGGCTGAAGAGAATGCTACATCCTACAACGAACTTTTATTTTTGAGAAGACTGAGGAACAAAGCTCTGATCTCGCGTTATAACAACCTTAAACAAAAAAAATTGATGAATATTTCCAAGCTTCATAGTTTGATAAATTCATTAACGATTTTGATTAATAATTCTTGATTATTTTGGTACATATGTATGTGCATTTATGCTTAATTTTATAATAAAACGTAAGCTCTCTATTGTTATTTAATTTACAAAATTCGACATACATAAACTATGTATGATTTGTACGTCAAAGTACATACATATACATAACATATATAATCTTACCATTGGATATGTAATTTGTCGGATTATAAGGTACTCTTTTGTAAAAAAATCTTGACTATAGGGGGTCTTAGGCAGTGCTCTATAATCCGACAAATTCGATAGTCCGACACTGCTCTGCATAATGTTTGTCGGATTACCGGAGGTCCAATGTAATCAGGTAGCTCTTTGGAAATAAGAGAGGCGTAATGCTAAGGATTCATCTCGGCAAATTAATGTATACAACATTCTGCGTACAGTTCGCGCACGTGGTTTAAGAGGGATGGAGTCACTTACCACAACGTAAGGGCCACTATATTGGCCAACTTCATCAACTGGTTCCACAAAAACTGATGTCTTGATATTGCTAGGTCACAATGATTAGAAGACTTGACACCCCTGATCTTTTGGAAAACTTACACACATTTGTATGAGCAAATTTGTAACAAAAAATTTAAAATAATGAATTTTGTACATCAGGTGCTACAATTAGTAGTGTAGATTTAAAAGAATCAACTCACCTTATCCGCAATTTTTACAAACAGACTGAATCCCTCACTGGATCTGAGGTTCAACCTAGTACTGATGTTCTGACAGAAATCTTTGGCCCTAGTACTAGAGTCGACCTCGAACGCTTCATCTGTATCGTCAGGAAAGTATACTTTGTGGAATATCTGAGTTGTCTTGTGCTGAATGGCTTCGACTTCCACCTAATCAGAAAAACAAATAATAATTTTTATTGTACAAATGATTATCATACCCCACAAGGGGATCCCTAATTTAACGGAAAGCATAAGGTTGGGCATCTTGGTGAATTCGTTAATCAAAGTCAGATCAGATAAAGTGACTTTGAAAAGGAGTTTGAAAGCTTTACCTGGTGCGGTGGGTATTTCCGCTGTCCATTGCGCAGCGTCTTTTGAAGCCGTTGGAGTGAGTCTTGGCTAATAGGGTGACGCCGACTCCTGAGGAACGTTGTTAATTCTTTCAACAGGCCTTGAGAACAGGTAAATAGACCGGTTGCCAGCCACATAAGCTCCCACCCTCGCTCCTCTGACAATCTGCAACAAAAAATGGTCCGCCACTAGAAATATCTATTAGAGTACATTATATTTTATTCTCTGTATGATGTTCCTATTTATTTACAACATTCTGAGAACTAGATCGAAGATTTTATAGAAGTGTTGTTTAGTTACAATCATGAAGTGAGTTTATGTTATTATTGATAGATTTGGATCAGATTTTATTTGTATGGACCAGAAATTAACGATGATTTGGGACACTCTGTAAAAAGCATCTTCTTATCCATGAATAAATGCATTCATTGACGCCATCTATTGTCTGAAAACTGTAGTAGTGATGAGCGCTATCTGACCATAGATAATGTTATTAACATGTGACACCTATTGGTAGATATACAGGGTGGCCCATCCATGTGTGGACGGAATATTACTCATAAACAAATACATTTTGGAAAAATCTATTGATGGCATGTTATACATGACATTTGAGGGCACATTTATAAAAACCGTCCACTTCGGCAACCCCTCAATCCGCCATTTTAAAATTTGGAGTGCTGAATTTTGTATCAAAAAAAACTTACATACCTCAGCTTCGATCTTATATGTTACTTTTTAGAATTTTCATTTTAGCTCATACAGGGTGGTCAAAAATGCGAATTGTATTTTTTTGTATTTGTGCACGCATGGATTCAATTTTTTATAAGCTTTTTTTTGGTATGAGGTTTGATTCAGATAAAATCACTAGATTTTGAGTTATTAAGCTTTTAATAAAACAATACACCAAAATTAAGGAAAAAAATCAATTCATCCATGGAAACAAAAGACAAACAGTGGGCTAGTTCGATATTGCACACAGCCGTAGTCTTTGGATAAATGACCATTGCACATCCCTTATGTTCAGAAAAGCGTCCTTAATTCTTTCCTTCATATTTTCCGGGGTAGATGGTGGATATCTATAAACCTCTTGCTTAACGTAGCCCCATAGAAATAAGTCTATCGGTGTCATATCTGGTGATCTAGGATGCCAAGATATAGGCCAAGATATAATGCGAGATGCTAGGAAACTATTTCATTGGGCTTCGCCCAAAACGAACACCATATTCAACATTTCTTCTTTAGAAAAATTCATTTTCAAACACGTTTTTAATAATAATGCTCACAAAGCTAATTTTGACAGTTTGTAACTAATCAATAATTCATTTGTTTCCAAGGATGATGCGATATTTTAGGGAATTAAGCCGTTCCATAAAAGACGTGCTAATAACAGAAAAAATAGCCGTCAAAACCCTTATGTGTCAGTATCAAAAAAAGCTTATAAAAAACTGAATCCAAACTTACACAAATATGCAGGCTGATGCATTTGAAATTTTTGAGAAAAACTACAATTTGCGTTTTTGACCACCCTGTATGAGCAAAAATTAAAATTCGAAAAAGTAACAAGAGAAAAGCTGAGGTGTATAAGTTTTTTTTGGTACAAAATTCAGCACTTCAAATTTCAAAATGGCGGACTGAGGGTTTGCCGAAGTGGGGGGTTTTTCTAGACAAAACACCTTATATCTCAGTATCTAATTACCAAAACCTCAGAGTATGTTATATCAATTTTCTTCTTTGGAATTGGTCAATCCAAATATGCAATAAAATTTGGGGCATTCCATTTGAAAAATCACAACTTTGATATGCAGGTCGAAATTGGAACACCCTGTATAATGGACAATATTTTAGAAATGTACCCTCAAATGTCATGTATAACATCCCATAAATAGATTTTCCCAAAATGTATTTGTTTGAGTAATATTCCATCCACACATGGATGGGCCAGCCTGTATAGAATAGAGGTATGACAAATTAATACTAGATTCCTGTAACATAAATTACAGAATTCTACGCTAGAAAAAAATAATTTTAACTAATAGGAATAGATGTCAATAGTAGAAAACTTTGGAAGTTGAAATGTTAATCAAATTCCTCATTACCCAGTTCTTTAATTTTAAATTTCATTTGTAAGTAATTCATGAATTTATTATCGACATAATTTTTACTCATGAGTTATACATTATTGAAGTGTTCCAGATTATTGTAGTAACTAATACAGTAATAAAATTGTAAAAGAAATAGTAAAATTTTTTAGCATTCTTAAAAGTTACAAATATAATGATTTTATAATAATTATCATAATTCTTCTTACCTATTTCTGTTGTCTGTGAGCTGTTTCATAATTTGACAGTAGATTTCATCTCTCAGTATCTCGTGCTTCAATGGGCCATCAAAAATATGGTCAGTATATTCATTTCCTAGCCTCGGCCTTTTTGAAGGCATGTCACCCATGTATTTCAAAATAGCAGTGAAGGCATAGCATGCTTCTTCAGCTAGCTCTTCCTTTGCCAAAAGTTTTTTCAGCAATGGTTGCCTGAAAAAATGTTTTACCATACTTAGGTAAAAAGCAATAAAGTACATTTGATGCGTTTTTGTTTTAATTTTGACGCCAATACCTTTCTTTTATGATTACATTTTTAAAATATATCATTGATCACGTTATTTAACAACAATAGTTATTTTTCACTTTGTTAAATATTTCATATAAATTACCTTTCCTGAACATAAACGTAAGTAGGCCACATTTACTATACAGCCAGAATCGTCAGCCATCTATCGGCCACATGCGGTGTCTTATTTCGATAAATTTCTCGAATAGGCTTGACCCAGTTTTCTTTTGAAATGTTAAGTTTGGAGAATTACATCAATCTACTCGATATCAGTCTTGATATGAATATTTCTTATCGAGTAACTTGCTACACCACTTAGCAATGTTCCATCAATAGAAATAATTCTGAATATTTCTTATTCGCGAAAATGTTAATAATGCGGCACAGCCTACAAGGGACAAAATCATGGGGACATTTTTTTTATTACTGAATATTGAACCATATGCGCCCGAATAAATTTCTCTCAAGGGGGCATATAAGACATCGGCAAGAGGGAACTTATTATATACAGGGTGTTACTTAATGATGGGCCGTGGTTACAAGGATCCATTCCTGAATCAAATTTAAGTAGAAAAATTGATATAAACATGTGTCATAAAAATTTGGATTCCACGATGCAGGGAGTCAAGGTTTAAAAAACAGTTGTTTTTTATTAATATCTCAACGATCCTTGTACCGATTTTACTGAATTTTGTTTGAGTTATTCATTGCAATAAAAGGCGTTAAGTTAGTACTAACCAGAAGATAATTATGAATTACAGTGGCGTCTCGGAGGACAGTCAACAATAATATTACACCACGGACATATTTTGTTTTAATTAAGCAGGTACGTATACAACTTTTTTGACCCTTGATATCTCTTCGTATTTTACTTCATTAAAAAAACGACTACATTACATTACGGAAAATGTTAAAATAAATTCGACTTGATCGATGCACACTATTTACTTATTTATAAGCCATTTTTAGAATGTAAGGGACGGAAAGTAACAATAATTTAACAAAATATCTACAGAAAATGTTCTTTGCTTCTTTCTACCCTCATATTTCAAATTTCAACAATTTTTCGACGTGAAATGAAGTTGTTCTCTTTTCCTCTGAAACAAAGTGAGACACGAAGTGATACCAAGAAAGTAAGTTTTTTTGTCAATAATATTCGTGAGACTGTGCCCCGGGGTGCTACTGTAATTCATAATTATCTTTTAGTCAGTGCTAACTTAGCGTCTTATCGCAATGAATAAAGTGCCAAAATTGAACAAAATCGTCACAAGGATCTTTGAGATCTTTATAAAAAATTGTTTCAAGTAGGTTGACTCTGGACTTCCAAAGCCTCACCAGCGCCGCATAGTGGCAGCAAATTTGGAGATCGCTACCATTGTATATGCCATCATACCTTATTGGTTCTCTAGAATGCCTCCAAAGTTCATCAGCCGCCGCTGAAGATGAACGTCGATTCGAGGACAAAGTGAGTCCTTTGGACAAAGTCCGTTTACCAGGTGGTCGGAAATGGTCTATGGCATATTCCGCTAGGGTATGTGGTCGATCTCTGGCTTCTGTACCATTAGTTACGTATTGGTGACTCAAACGACGTCCATGCTCAGCTCCTGAAACAGAAAAAAAGTGGCGTTATGTAGATTGACTCAGCACTTCTAACGCAACGCCGCGATCAGTTCAGAAAATATTATGGTCGGTACAAACTTGACCCTCTGAGAAAAAAGTCATTCAAACAGATCCATACAATTTTTTCATAGACGTCCTTTGCCCTGGTAGTGCATCTGGAAGCATCGCCTCTCCCCGATTCTCAACCCCGTAAGACGTGGCAGCGCGGTTAGAGCAAAGGAAACTATATGCTGTGGCGCGGCAGACATACGCGTAATACTATACTAGAACAACAGCACACTCACCAAGTTCGGCGGCACGGTGCCGCTAGCAGCAGCCGTGACCGGTAGGTACGCGATCAGTCTGCAGGGAATAGTTTTAAGGGAGAAATCTAAAGGTATAAATGTACCAACATCAAACAATTGAGACAAGCCCTCAGAACCCCCACCCCAAGTTTTTCCCCTCTCAATTTTGTTTCAAATATGACGTCAAAAAAAGAAAGTTTGAGCGTTTTTTATTTTTGTTAGTTTTTGGCTTTTTTTTCGTCGCAACTGGACCGATATTCAAAAACTACAAGGCTTTTGTGTCCTTGTCATAGTAATTACACTGTATATGAATTTCGGCGAAATCCGAGCGGTACTTCTCAAGTTACAGGGGGTTGTAAGATTAGCGGACAGACCGACAGACAGACCAACGGAAATAAGTGACATGCTTTTTATATTGTGTAAGTCATATAACATCCAAAAAACATATTATCTCATTTTCCATATTTATGTTTGTTCCTTAATATGAATTACAGAGGTTGCCGGGCGGTAATTCGGAACTTTATTTAAACAATCTATTCAAATAAATAACAAAAAATTGCTCTCTAAAAAGTTTTTATCAACATTTTAGACCTTTCTGGACAAAAAAGGACCTTAGCAACTTTTCTCTAAGGTTGGCCGTTTTCGAGCGATTTAAACTCTGGAAAATTCTGAAAGTGCTTACAAATTAGGTTAAAATCTATTATTTTTGGGGTTCCCAATTATCTAACTTAAAGCTCAATCCTTCCCTTATAAGATTCTGACGAAAATTTTATGCTTGATTTATTTTGGAGCATGGTTATTTAATTGTTGATAACGGCAACTTCCATACAGGTTACCCCCCAAATCGATTAGTAAAACAGGGTTGCCAGATTTGGTCAGATAGAATTTCTCCAGGACAATATCAAGAATTCTCCAAATTTACAACTTTTTTATAATTTAGTATGGAACGTTCACATAAATATGTAAAATATAATTTGTCAGAGATAAATTATTGTTAAAGATAAACTATGCCTGTTAGATTTCATTTAAACAGTGTGCAGCAAGCTAAAAAGGTACATAGAAAATACTTCTTAAAAAAATAAGTAATTTTAATTTTTCGGTGTATGTGTGTTCTTCAAAAAGGGGTCAAATTTCAAAACCTTGCCATCTTCAAAAACATAATACGTGAACTTAAAGACAGAAACCAAGCACATACTCGGTCTACTGATCAATACTATCCCGATCGAAACCTCGTGCTTATGGCATCAAGTAAACTGACTCCATACTTCTCACGCGTATCCGTACACGGAAGAATCATTTCTTTGAAACTCTAGTATAAGACTCTTTGTCAACGATGCTTGGTACCTCACGATAAATTACACTACAAGCACAATCCATATAATGTTGCACCCACCTCATATGTGCATACCGCATCACCGCTCCGTCTGCTACCTGATTTTATAAGTCCCTCGAATCCACTACTAAAGATGCATTATTTACAACTTCGTAACGCAAGGCAGGTGCGACCGATATGTGCGTGATTCATCGGCATTAGATTTTCAAGGGCTAATGTACCGGTAAATCTGTGATGTGGAATGTCTAACATGAAGAAATTGAGATACACCCTCCCCCACCCTCCTACAACCTCACCTGTAAAGAATGTTTCAAAAATAATCATGGTCATCGGAAACGTCAAAAAACGTAGTTATTTAGTGAGTTTTTTCGTTTTTGGTATTTTTCTTCGCCACCAGTGGATCGATTTTCAAAAACTATAAAGCTTTATCGCCCCTGACACAATAGTAATATTGTGTAAAATTGCCATCCAAATCCGACCTGTACTTTCCAAGTTATAAAGGGGGCCAAGGATTAGCGGATAGATATACAGACAGACCAACAGATACCGACATACGGACCGACAGACAGGCCGACGGAAATGAGTGACATGTTTTTTTTGTGATATACATGTTATAAAATATCCTAAAACCATAATATCTGATTTTCGAAATCTTTTGCAATTACAATACTTCCTCCGCCACTAAGGCGTGGAAAGTAAAACGGTTAAAAATGAAACGAAATGCTTAAAAATGTCCAAGGCATCATTGTATCTATTGACTACTCTAAGGCTTTTGATAGTATCAACCCTGAGCTTTTACTTTTGAAACTCAGTTACATTGGTCTTGATAAATTAACAGAATCCTTTTTGAAAATTATCTTCACGGCAGAACTCAATGTGTTTTATTAAGTCAAAGATTGTCCTCAACATCGTTGATACCTTCTGGTGCGTCTCAAGGCTCTATATTAGGACATTTACTATTTTTAATTTATGCTTCGGATTTAAATAAAACTATTAACTCTTTTATTCAATCATTTGCAGATGATATTACTGCATTGTTTTAATCCAAATGAGGTAGCAAGTGCAACAAAAATTTTACAAAGCGACGCTAAAAATTTGATACATACAAAATATTATTGTTTTGTAATCTTACCTAAAGATTTATATAAATAATCAAGTTTTACAGTTTGCCGGGTCTGCAAAAATACTTGCTGTAGTTTTTGACACTAAAATGAGGTTTAATGAACATGTGAGGAGTCTGTATCTCAGGTTACGTACTCTTACAGCAAATCGATATTTACTAAATTTTGAACTTCGCAAAAAACTATGCGACAGTTTAGTCATATCTGTCCTAAATTACTGTGATATTGTCTATTTTCCGTCATTAGATTTGCTTTACAAAAAACATTATCCAAATCACTCAAAAAATTGTTTTTAGTAAGGATGTGCACACTAGACCGTTAAGACACAAAATTATAAGACTTCCACCGCACAAAACAACATTTAAGTTTTTCATATAATTTAACTACCAGTTATAATTCAAGTGTATAAGTCATATTCTTTGTCTACACTCCGCAACAAAATTAAACTGTTTATAAATTGACTATCTATCCACTTGATTTTATCATTTCTTGTAATTCTTGATTTACGCATTTTCTGATCTTGTTCTTGCTTGTTTTTTTCCCTTAAGATAGGACATGCATTTCTGCATTGTGTTACCAGTCGCTAACTGATTGGTTAAGTGTAAGAGTAGCGATTGCTAAGCTCCGCCAATCAGTCAGTATATTTCCAAATAAAGACATCTATACTAAGTGACATATAAATCCGAACACCCAGTTTAAATGGTTTTATTTTAATAAAATTTGGTGAATTTATTTATCTTACTGTAAATAACAAGTGAAAAAATTTTCAGCCTTATCAGTTGGACATTCCGGTTTTTATACTGCTTTTTTTTAATTCACTAACGCTCTAAAAATGAATATTTCAGCCGCAGTAAAGAATCAACGTTGGCGGATTTTGGTTCTTGACATCCTTTACGATCGGTTACGATGCCTAGAGTACGGAGACCTGTACGATTTCGTCAACTTAGTGAGTTTGATAGGGGCCGTATAGTGGGACTTCGGGAAGCTAGTCTTTCTTTTCGGGCAATTGCAGTTAGAGTGCAAAGAAGTGTAGACACTGTGGTTAGGTGTTGTCAGGCATGGCTTCGAGAAGGCCGTACGCAAAGAGCAAGGGGCACTGGGCGCCGCCGTAGAACAACAGACCGTGAAGATCGCTGCCTAAGATTATTGGCCTTAAGGGACCGTTTCTCCACTACCAGGTCCATTGCAAATGAATGATTTGCAGAACACGGAAGACCTATTGGCATGCGAAGTGTTTACCGACGAATGAGAAGTTTTGGCTTGTTTTCATACCGGCCACACTGGGTCCTCCCTTTAACTCGAGAACACCGACGTAATCGCCTTGAGTGGTGCAGACAACGGTCACTCTGGGATCAGGAATGGAACAGTATTGTCTTTAGTGACGAGTCTCGATTTTGTTTAGGCATGCATGATGGTCGTGCCAGGGTTAGAAGGCGACGTGGTGAAAGGAGGAATCCACATTTTTTTGCTCAAAGACATGTTCATCACACTGTTGGAGTTATGGTTTGGGGTGCTATAGCTTATGGTTCCAGGTCACCTTTAATCTTCATCAGAGGTAACATGAACGCGCAGCGTTATATCCACGAAGTTCTAGAACCCCATCTTTTACCCTATCTTGACACCCTGACAGATCCAACTTTCCAACAAGATAATGCCCGACCACATATTGCAAGAGTCACAATAGACTTCTTTCAACATAATGATGTCACATTGTTACCATGGCCACCAAGATCTCCCGACTTATCCCCAATTGAGCACGTGTGGGATATGATGGGTAGGAGATTGCTCAATTTGCAACGTCCTCCTCAGACTCTAGAAGCACTTCGAGAGGAGTTGGTGGTTGCCTGGAATGAGATACCACAGGAGGACATTGACCACCTGATCAGAAGCATGCCTAGGCGCGTTGGAGAATGCGTAGCACATCAGGGTGCATCCACACATTATTAAAGGTCAAAGGGCTTTAAAGCAGTGCAATCATTTTGAAATTTTTATCATTTACTTATTATGCTTCATTAAGTACTTATACAAAATTTTATTAAAATAAAACCATTTAAACTGGGTGTTCGGATTTATATGTCACTTAGTATATTATTATTATTTCTAAAAAAAATCTCACAGAATGGTATGCCTCCAAAATCTCCCGAAAAGTGTAAGAATTCCGCCAAGTTTGGGGAAAATCAACCAATATGGCAACGCTCTAGAAAAAAAGGAACTTTGATAACACCGTTTTGTCATTTGTCATTTTCTCACCTTCTACAGAGAAGAGCTGCAAGACGTCCTGGGGCGGCTTGGCCATACAGGGCAGCACGTAAACTGTCTCAGCAGGGAAGTCCCCCCTCTCCCCTGTCCTGTCGCACCTTCCCACGCACCAACCGCTGTTCAGCACCGTTTCACCCGTACTGTCCTCCTCGAGGATAATCAGATCACCTTTGGAGAAACTCAGGAAGCTGCTGCCTTCGCCAGGTGCTTTGTAGTCTTGCAGGGCGATTACGTACTTTGAACGTTTCTTCAGACCTGCAATCGTATCACATACAAAAATGGCGTCAAGTCGATTGACTCTGTACTTTCGTTACCATTAGATATTCTGAACACTTACAAAAGCCATTAACCTGTGATTAAAAGAATCGATCAAAGTAAATGTGAGATATAGAGCCGACCTATTTGAAAAATTTTGAACAGACTGAATAACTGAATAAAAACCCAATGTAACATACAGGGTGGCCAAACACGTGACGTCATAAAAAAAATTAGATTCCCCACATCGAGAGGAACCCAAATCACCCCCATATATATGTTCCGATTTTGTTTAGTTTAGGAGTTATGATTTTTTTTCGGATTTTTCGAGAATTTATGAGTTCTGTGTTTATTTTTACCATAACTTCGTTAATAATTGTGATAAATGCCTGCTTTTTTCACGATTATGTAGCTAAGACCTAAGGCTTAACTATCATATAATCATTCAAGTCATGTAACTAATACTACTTTTTAATTTTTTTCAAAATCTTCGAACATAACAAAAAAGTAAAAAAGTGCAACAACTTTGAACGTTTATAAAAAATTGAAAAAACATGTTCTTACTATTCGTAAGTATCTTAAAAACTTCCTTACGGTATCAGCTATTTACCGTAAAAATTTCATCAACCTAGCTTTACTACATGCTACCGTAATTGTGGCTCAAATAGAACCGAACCCAAAATTGGATAACCCTCTGCTCAATAGAAATTGTTAGTTTCGGAAAAAAAATTTGCAAAAACCACAAAAACACGTTTGATTTTTACTGAACAGCAGATTATTATTCATTTATGTTATTTACAAGAGGTTTTCAAAATGTCTGCCTCTAACAGAAATGCACAGTGTACACCTACGTATGAAATTTTGTTTTAAATCTCTAAATGCTTGTGTGTTGTTTTTCAACACATGTGTCGCTTCTTGAATTTTGTTCCTCAATGAATTTTCATTTGCACATTCTTGGGCGAATGTTATGTCTTTAAAATATCCCCAAACAAAAAAATCAATGGGGTTGAGGTTAGGGGAGCGTGGAGGCCATCGTATCGGTCCGTTTCGTCCGATCCATCTGTCTGGGAACCTTTCGTTTAAGTAGTTTCGCACGATCGTTGCGTTGTGGCATGGTGAATCATCATTCTGGAACACCATGTTCCGTCTGGCTTCCAGGCTTGAATCTTCCAGCAATAATGGTAGGCTATTTTCAAGGAAGCTTTTGTAGGCTACCGAATCCAACCTTGACGGCAGTTCAAATGGACCGATAAATTCCATATTGAATATTCCTGACCACATGTTCACACTAAAACGGTGTTGAAATGTCGACGGCATTGACTGGTGGGGGTTTTCAACAGCCCAAGTATGTAAATTATGGATATTGAATATCCCTGTTCTTTCAAAACGTGACTCGTCAGTCCATAAAATTTTAATCAAAAAAATCGGGATCCTCTCGTCTTCGCAGCATTGTCCCGCAGAAATCCACTCTTAGCTGGTAATCTGAAGGCATCAACGCTTGAACTCTTTGAACATGATAGGCATGATAACCTTCTTCATGAAGAATATTTTGTATCGATGTTCGTGGTATTCTAAGGTTTTGTGCCATAGATCTCGTACTCGTTGAGGGATTCCGGCTAATTTCTTCAAGTACTACTTCTCTGCGATCCGGATCAGCTGTAGGATATCCTTCATTGCTTCCTCGTCCTGGAATGTGGCCTGCCATGAAAGTGTTATGTGTGTTAATAAAAACACGGTGGTCTGGGTAATGCTCAGGTTGTGGTCCGCCTCGGCGTATAAGTTGTTCCCGGTACAGCTGAGCTGCTAAAGCGCCGTTGCCTTGAGCAACGCCATAATAATAATGCAAATTCTCGAAAAATCCGAAAAAAAATCATAACTCCTAAACTAAACAAAATCGGACCATATATATGGGGGTGATTTGGGTTCCTCTCGATGTGGGGAATCTAATTTTTTTTATGACGTCACGTGTTTGGCCACCCTGTATAATAATAATAATTTTTGTTTAAGAATCGATACAATATATAATTTTATATTATAATATATATAATTTGTTTAAATAATATATATACGATAATGCTGAAACGAAAGTGCGACAAATTAGCCCATCTTAGAAGAAAACTTCGTTAAGTAGGTTGACTCTGCACTTCCACGTAATGCCGTTATCAGTTCAAAAATGATTATGTTCAGTAAAAACTAGACCCTCTGAGAAAAAAATCAGTCAAACAGATCCATACAATTAGTCTACAGACATACTTTCCCTTCCTTGCCGTTAGTGCATCTGGAAACGTCGCCTCTACCCGATACTTAACTCGGTCAGACGTGGCAGAACAGATATACATTTAATACGATGATTTAAGAATATTTTTAGTTTTAAATGCAAACGTAAGGCGAAATCTGTGACGTGAAAAATATGTCTTATAGGTGCGTAGAACTACCAAGGTTGGGTGCGTATCAATGTACTAACATCAAATTTTTTTGTGCGGAAGTATGCGTGTACTTTTTTCGCCAAGGCAAGTCGATTTGCTAATATCATCGGGCAGTCGCAGGGGAAAGTCGAAACTCGAGGCGTGAAGTGGTGAATGTTCAATTAGCATAACCGATAATAACCCGGTTTACAAGCTTCTTAATAATATAACATTTTTCACTTATACGAAAGGTGCAACATTCACATCACCCCTATAACCGTCAACGCCCAAGTTGTTCTTGAAAATGATCATATGTAAAAAGAATCATCCAAATACTTTAAAAAAGGACATAGATGTACATTTGAAAGGTAATAAATTAGTTCCTGTGGATCATCCGAAGAACCTAGGTATTATAATGGATGATGCCTTAAAGTTTGTTGTACACGTAAACTATCTAATTTCTCAGTGCTACGCTATTCTCAGAGTTTTATTTGCCAATAAGGCTATATACATAAATCTGCAAGAAACCATTTGTGTGAATCTTTCTTGTTTTCAAAGATATCGTATTGCTTAGTGGTTTACTACCCCTATTTAGATATTATAACAAGAAATCGTATTCAAAGTATTATGAATTTTGCAGACTTGTAAATGGTCTCAGAAGGTATGATCATATATCGAATGCCATTAATTTTTTTTTATATTCCAACTACCACGAAGGCCTAAGCACCCATTGGGTACCGTGGGGCTATGGGGGATACATGGGAAAGGGGGGACGCAACACAGACTCTGGCGAGGGAATACGTGTGCATGCAACATGCACACATTCTGGCTCCGCCTACGAGAACCGCCGGGTGGTACCTCCGCGTTCGACAGTCAGATACCATCTACCACCTACGGACAATCACAACATCCATAGCCAAGAGAAAAATGTCTCCTGGGACGGGACTCGAACCCGCACAGCGCACGGCGACTGATCAGGAGACCGAACAGTCTACTACTGCGGCCACCGCTGCTGCCTAAACTCAAATGGATGAAAATTGATAAAATGTATAAGTACCAGCTCCTGAATCTGATTCATAAGGTTCTTTATTCAAAAACACCGTCATATTTAGTAAACAAATTCATTCGTAGAGGGATATGCATGGCATTAATATTAGATATAGAGAGACTTTTTCAATTCCACGCCACAGCACATCTCTATTTCTGAATACATTTATTTACAATGCGATCAAATCATATAATTCTTTAGACCGCAGTTTAAAAGAAACCAATCCATTACCCAAATTCAAGAAAAAAGTGAAAGAAGTTCTACTTGATCAGCAGCGAAATCTGTTGTAACCCATAAGTGGCCTCATATCTTCCTTATGCCTTTACTTGGATTATATTTTATTCTGTCGTTATTGTATACAGTTATTAATTTTGAACAAATTCTGTTCTCTTTTTACATTTCGTATTGTTAAGGGAGTTAGATGGTAGAATAGATATATTATCTAAATCTCGCCTCCTGTAAGAATATTACAAATAAAGGACGTTAATTATTATTATTATTAAATCCGAGTACCTTTTCCCAATTTATGTAGGGGCCAAGGATCAGCCCACAGACCGACAAACAGATGGACCGACGGAAATGAGTGACATGTTTTTTTGTGATGTACAGAGTGTCCAGCTATAAATTGATCTCTAACTTTTTATATGACCTTCTTGAAGAAAAAGTTGTACATAAAAGTTATAGATATGAAGTTTTTCACGCAATCTTTTTTTGTATACCGGGTGTCTCAGAAAAGTGCTACCGAATAAAGTTGTATTTTTTAAACAGAATATCCTCCATGTTTTCAGTGAAAATGATAGACCCTTTTTGTTTGACTCCAAATATACAGGGTACCCAAAATAAGGATCCTATGCGCGGGGACCTGTAGGAGATAAAGCTTAGGTTAAATAAGAAAAAAATGTGTTCTTTAGGGCATATTTACATGCCGTTGATCAGCTTGGAGAAATTTCATGACTTACTGCGATATTTGGGAGAAACTAAAATTTCGCCAAATCATTTTTATTTTTTCTGAATTTATTTTAAGAAATATGAAAAAACTAATTGAACTTTTCGATTGGCACTTTTTAAAAAGTACACCCTGTATCTAATAGCATTTTTATACATTTTCTTGTAGTCTAATCATATTAGACGAAAATACCCCTGGTTTGCGAAATAATTGTAAAGTCTGGTTTTGTTGCTGCAAGTTGTTCAAAGGGGTATCCAAAACATGGACGCATAAAATGGGTATACCAATTTTTATGGGAAAACTTTTTATTCGACAACAAAGAATGAGAAAACGTGTTTTTTGGGATTCCATCGAAAGTGTTGGCAGGAACGAAAAAACTATTCATATAAGATTTTTAGGTATCGATGTGACCTACAAAATGTGACGACACGTAAAAAGCTCTGACTAATAACAAAAAAGTTATGGCCGAAAACCGAGGCTAACTGCAGGTTTTGGCACTTGTTGGTAATGCGACGATGGTTTCTCGTAGATTATTTGAAATAGCCACAACAAAATTGAAGTAGATTGGTCTAGTAGTTTTTGAGAATTTCTAATTGTTTATCCCAAAACACCTGTTTCCCGGGCATCACTACTAGTTTATCGAACAATATACAGGGTTAGTTCAAAGGGCATTTTATAGCAAAATACAATAGTTTACCTAGCCGATATGAATTTTAAACCTTTCCGGAAGATAGATGTTATTTTTATGCGAAAGAAAGAAGAATAAGAATGTTTTATAATGGACTAAAAATGTATTTTTGTAAACTAGTTGGCTTGGCAAAATATAAAAAATATTCAGTTATAATAATAAAAATATGAAAATAATAAGATAAATCTAGTGGTTGCAAAAATGGTGGCTCCCGCTTTCTTTCCTAAATCCGCTCTGAAATCTCCTTTGAACTTTTAATCAAAATAATGATATTCCGTTGAAATATTTTTTCTCAAAAACATTCCAAACAAAACTCACCTTCCAAAAAATAGACAACCAAATCTCGAATATCCTCAGCGTTAGGACTCTGAAAAGTGAATTCCTCTCCGCGGACGGTGTTCAAGCTGAATGTCTGTGTGAAGACCTTGTTAGTCTTCTGACTGGACACAGTGGTGATCTCTGGAAAGGACAGTTCCAAAAGGACCTGTTCCTGGTCATCTACAACATACACGCCTGTCCAGTTCACGGCGATTATCACGTCGTTCTTGGGAAGGTTTGGGCCTGAGTTGCGATAGGCTTCGTAGAATCTGAAGATAACAAGAATAAATCAGAATCCTTATACACCCTGCTATTAGGTGTAGGCGAGTCCAGTTAAACATATACTAGAATTTACACTAATCATGTTTATACCCTATTGTCGACAGCGTTGCCAGGTTCGTCGCAAGAAATAATCGCACAAGCAACTCGAAATTATCGTACACGGTAGACTATTAAGGATAAAGCCGGTGTGGACTTAATAAATGTGAGTACGTGGACAGAAGACTATAAAGCGCTTTTGACTGAAGATAGATACGAATTCCTAGAAAGCAGAGTCGAGTTACTGAACGAAGATGAAACAGAGCTGCCACACCTTCCTCTAATCCCCACTGAAGACGTTTGCATAGCATTGTCACAAATTAAGAACGGCAAGGCCGAACTACTAAAAGCAGCTCCTAGTAGGATAGTAGACATACTATTAAACATATTTAATAAATGTCTCAGTGGTAGCGATCTGCCTACTGATTGGAAAAGGCCATTCACATTATATATGGGAAGGTGTTAAAGTCGAAACTTGAAGATCAAGTAAGGTATTCCGCAGAACAGAATGGCTTCCGATCTGGGTGTTCGTGTATTGATGGGATCTTTACTTTAAAGAATCTAATAGATAAAAAGGTAGAAAGGGGTAGACCGGTACCTACAATTAACATTTATTGATTTACAAAAGGCCTATGGCACTGTCCCATTATGCAAGTTATGAGAATGCAAGATTAAATGTGGTGTTGATGTGGTCTATGTAAATGCTGTCAAAACTCTGTACTGTGGGTGTACCAGCGTGGTCAAAAGCGGTAGACAACTCTCAGAGGAATTCCCAGTAACCAAAGGATTACGACAAAGGTTCTCACTTGCGCCGACAATTTTTGAGATATATATTGAAGCAGTTGTAGTAAACTGGAAGAGGAAATGTTGCCATATGGGAATACCAGTGGGAGAAGATGTTCTATATACCTCGTTATTCACTGACGACGACGTCTTGATAGCAGGTGATAGAGATAACTCGTGTTATATGTTTAGGGAACTGGAAGAAGGTAAGTTGGAAACCATATCATACAGAACACAACATGATTGAAATATTTGCGTCTAACGTTTACGGTGAATGACAAGAGCAGCCAAGACATTTAAAATAAAATAGCACAAGGTAAAAGAGCAATTAGACAACTAAATTCTATTCTATGGAGTACTAGAGTGGCAGAAAACAAAGACCTCCAAGAAGTTGGAAGCAAGATGTTGAAGAGTTCATGTCCACAGGACTCCAAGCGGGAGACTGGATGGAGCGAAAGATGTGGCGTTTGAGAAGCGGCAAACGAGTATTGGTACAAAAACCCCATATATATATATATATATATATATATATATATATATATATATACAGGGTGGCGCATCGAAAATGAAACAGACGCATTTATTGGCAGCTCAGTTTTTTTTGTTTTCGAGGGGGAAACAAGTTTGGCAAAAAATAACGTTAGCACGTGCAGCCCCCTAAGCGGGGGTGACACCACCCCCAAAATCTTAAATGGAAAGGGGGGTCGAGTGATACCTTATTTTAAAGGTCTTTCAATTCCCTTTATAATGATATAAAATTAATGTACTTCAGTTCAGTAGTTTTTAAGATTTGTTGATTTAAAGCTTAAATAAAACTAATACACCATCATTAGTGGAGATCAATACATTTGGCAGCAAAGAAATTTAAAAATGAAGAATGATCTGTCCCGTTAGGCAAGTAAATGTTGAAAATGGCCACCATGACTCTCCATGCAATAATAAAAATTTTGCTCAAAACGTTGCCGCACATTTTGCAATATTTGAGGAGTAATTTGAAGGCACTCATTCACAATTCTCTGTCGCAGGTCTTCTAATGATGTTAACTGAGTAGCATAGATTTGCTTTTTAAATGACCCCACATAAAGAAATCCAAAGGTGATAAATCAACCTATTCGCAATGTACCGCCGATCATTCGGATTTTCAATTATGGCTGTTAATGCAGGATCTATGACGTCTTCGCCGGTCAAATTTCCAGGTAAAAAAAAGGACCAACTAAATGATCGCCAAAAATACCAGCCCAAACATTTAATTTTTGTGGCTGCTGTGTATGAACCTCATGATAAATTCTGGGATTAGAATCGGACCAATATCGGCAGTTATGACGCCATTTACGAAAAAGGAACATTCTTCGGAAAAGCAAGTGTTAAATAGAAAATGTTCATCGTTTATAATTCGTTCACTCATATCTTCACAAAATTGTAATCGCCGATCAAAGTCGTCTTCATTAAGTTCTTGTACCAGGTGAATTTTATACGGATGAAAACTATGGGCCTTAAGAATCCGTTGGACAGTACATCGACTAACACTACACACAGTCTCCAATTTGCGGGTACTTAACGTAGGATCTACATAAACTACTAACACTAAAACCCCCACTTCTATTGCTTCGTTCCTTATGGGATTTTCAATGTTGCGTTTTTTATTGGCGACTGACCCAGTTTCCAGAAATTTAGCTACAAGTTCTAGAACATATTTTCGATGCACGTTACTGTTCTCATGTCGCTCATTAAATATTTCTGCTGTTCTATTAGCGCACTGATTATTTCCTAAAAATATTTCGACAATTTCAACTTTTTCTGCTGTGGAATATACCATGGTTAATTTATGTAATAAAGCGTTACAAGTTATTTTCGCAACAACGTTTGGTCAAACCAATCGCAAACTATGTAATCCTATTTAAAATAAGTACGAGATATACTAAGTGACATATAAATCCGAACACCCAGTTTAAATGGTTTTATTTTAATAAAATTTTGTATAAGTACTTAATGAAGCATAATAAGTAAATGATAAATTTTCAAAATGATTGCACTGCTTTAAAGCCCTTTGACCTTTAATAATGTGTGGATGCACCCTGATGTGCTACGCATTCTCCAACGCGCCTAGGCATGCTTCTGATCAGGTGGTCAATGTCCTCCTGTGGTATCTCATTCCAGGCAACCACCAACTCCTCTCGAAGTGCTTCTAGAGTCTGAGGACGACGTTGCAAATTGAGCAATCTCCTACCCATCATATCCCACACGTGCTCAATTGAGGATAAGTCGGGAGATCTTGGTGGCCATGGTAACAATGTGACATCATTATGTTGAAAGAAGTCTATTGTGACTCTTGCAACATGTGGTCGGGCATTATCTTGTTGGAAAGTTGGATCTGCCAGGGTGTCAAGATAGGGTAAAAGATGGGGTTCTAGAACTTCGTGGATATAACGCTGCGCGTTCATGTTACCTCTGATGAAGATTAAAGGTGACCTGGAACCATAAGCTATAGCACCCCAAACCATAACTCCAACAGTGTGATGAACATGTCTTTCAACAAAAAACTGTGGATTCCTCCTTTCACCACGTCGCCTTCTAACCCTTGCACGACCATCGTGCATGCCTAAACAAAATCGAGACTCGTCACTAAAGACAATACTGTTCCATTCCTGATCCCAGAGTGACCGTTGTCTGCACCACTCAAGACGATTACGTCGGTGTTCTCGAGTTAAAGGGAGGACCCAGTGTGGCCGGTATGAAAACAAGCCAAAACTTCTCATTCGTCGGTAAACACTTCGCATGCCATTAGGTCTTCCGCGTTCTGCAAACCATTCATTTGCAATGGACCTGGTAGTGGAGAAACGGTCCCTTAAGGCCAATAATCTTAGGCGGCGATCTTCACGGTCTGTTGTTCTACGGCGGCGTCCAGTGCCCCTTGCTCTTTGCGTACGGCCTTCTCGAAGCCATGCCTGACAACACCTAACTACAGTGTCTACACTTCTTTGCACTCTAACTGCAATTGCCCGAAAAGAAAGTCCAGCTTCCCGAAGTCCCACTATACGGCCCCTATCAAACTCACTAAGTTGACGAAATCGTACAGGTCTCCGTACTCTAGGCATCGTAACCGATCGTAAAGGATGTCAAGAACCAAAATCCGCCAACGTTGATTCTTTACTGCGGCTGAAATATTCATTTTTAGAGCGTTAGTGAATTGAAAAAAAGCAGTATAAAAACCGGAATGTCCAACTGACAAGGCTGAACATTTTTTCACTTGTTATTTACAGTAAGATAAATACATTCACCAACTTTTATTAAAATAAAACCATTTAAATTGGGTGTTCGGATTTATATGTCACTTAGTATATTTCCTTATCTTTCTTCAAGAAAGAACTTTTTTGCCACAAAAAACGTTCCAATAGCTATTTTCATCAACAAAATGATAAACAAACCATGGGCGTAGTGAAGAAAAGCATTTACTTATTAAGTAAATTCTTTTAGACAAATTTCTTCTGAAAGCAGTACAAACTAATCTGATGTACCTATTAAAGTCGACATTAAGCTTTAAATCAATAAATAAAGGGAATTGAAAGACCTTTAAAATAAGGTATCACTCGACCCCCCTTGCCATTTAAGATTTTAGGGATGGTATCACCCCCGCCCAGGGGGCTGCACCTGTTAACGTGATTTTTTGCCAAACTTGTGTCCCCCTCGAAAACAAAAGCGACGGGTCTGAGCGTTTTTCAAAAAAAAAAACTGCGCTGCCAGTAAATGCGTCTGTTTCGTTTTTGATGCGCCAACCTGTATAGTAGAATTGTAATTGGTGAGGGGGTGCGCGCTGGATCACCTGTTGGTGACAATGGAGGAGCGGGGGAAGATGTGTGAACGTAAAATTGTGGATTCATTCAACATATTTGACATCTGGAAGTAAAAAAATGGCGTCAAGCCGCGCAAAAGCTGAACCCTCTTGATTACATTTTTCTTCACTATTTGGTAAGTTTCGGGAGGAATATTTTCTATCGCTTTCGTAATATTGTTCGTCAGCTGCTCTACAGTATTTGGTTTGTTGGCATAAACCCTATTTTTCAAAAATCTACATAAAAAAATCAGGAGCCGTTAAATCCTTGGTGGCCAGTTGACATCACCAAATCGAGAAATTAAACGTCCCGGAAATATTGTTCGCAAAAGATTCATT